CCCTGCTGACAAGAAGTCCAAGAAGAGGTAGAGGACCTCTGTGGTCCATACTTCTGATCCTCCCTCAGAGCTGACCTGCAATCCTGCTTCTCAGCACTCCCATGCCCAAGATGTTGACTCTCTTTTGGTCCAGGGGCCTCAGACGACATGCCCCAGTATGTATGGAACAAAAAACAAGTTTCCATTACTATCACAGGCCCTGGTGGGTAACATTTAACCCGACCTCATGATTTAAACCCTGTTCCTCTCTTGTTCACAGGCGTCCCATTGGACACAGTCACAGTTTGGTACAGAAGCAGGCAAAACAAACCAACAAACAGTAAATGAGTAGAAATCCCTGTAATTAGCTTGAAATTATTTGTTGTTTCTTGCCACCAGTATAAGAAAGGTCAAAGGTCAGGGTGATGCTATGTAGCAGTCAGGATGGGGCAGCATTATGGCTAATCCTCCTGTAAAATTAGGCTTCTTGATTCCTCAACACTCTTTTGGTGGTAAATTAGAGCTACCTGGGTATGTGCTGCGAAACATCCAGCATCAATCTGCATCTTAATCCAAAGAAAATGTGCAGTCTCAGCAAATCTTTGAAACTGTCAACTGTGCAGATTCATATTTCAACACCATTCATCAGGCAGCCTCAGTTCTGTTTGAGATTGTTATCAAGGCAATAAAGAAAACAGTCAATATGAACAGACTGAACTCAATATTTGATGATTTATGTTGCTTCATTTCTTAAATTCTTTTGCTGTATAGTGTACTGTAGTTACTATGGAATGAAACCATTGCTGGAAGATGCATCCCTGTGACTCTACCCTGGATGCATCTGTCTGAGTTTCTTTCTATAAAGTGGGTCTGTGGATGTGGAGCAGCCTGTGAGGTCACACAGGTAGATCAGACCAGCAGCAGGAACAGGAATAGTTTAGTGCAGCTGCAGGAGCATGTGCTTTTTGCTTCAAATCATCTGCAGAGCTGCCTACTGAGCTGCTCTGCACTAGAGGTTATGATGCTGGATACTAGTTATCAATTTCAATCAAGCAAAGTCACAGTTTAGAACATATTTTTTTTTTCCTCTGAAGTGCCTCTCTTCATCTTGAAATTGGGTTGCACCTCGTTTAATCGTGCTTCATGGCAACCTCGCAAATATTCAGATCGAGAAGAGGTCCCTGCAGTCTGCTTTGATTTAAACATGCCATCAGGTCTCAGAAAAGTTTGCAGCACTTTTATTTTTTAAGACGCGGGGATTGTATACCCACATCACATGGGTGCGGGGCAACAAGAAAGCTGTAGAGACGCCCACACATTTTATCAGCCCCACAAAAAATCCTTCAGACGCAGTTTGTGGTGAAGTCTAAACCAATTAATAACATTTACTTGTGTAGCTATAACTTTTTTTGTTTTTTGTATACTTGTTTTTTTAAAGTCAGTACCTTAATTGTTTTTCTATTGAAAGTTGTGTTTTTTTTATTGTATTTTAGATACAGTTACTATGTGAAAAAAAATACTGGAAAACACACAAACTTTATCTTGATTGCATGATAGGCAGCTGACCGAATAATGTCTCCACTAAAATCATCTCAATTCTAATCAAAATATCTCATTACACATAATAGCAGTATTACCTTTTCTTGTCAAGGAACTTATCAGGATCAATTTTCTTACTGCATCTGCTGTCATTTTTACTCTCACATTTAAGTCCTTTTTTTGACTCATTATATGCCCCTCTACAAATCTAACCACAACTTAAGTGTGTACATTGGTAAGGTACATTTTTGATCACTATTATTTTAGTAGATTAACAGACTAGGAATTTTACCTATACGTAAACTTCAGTATCAAACTTTTGGTCTGTGTCAATTTTGGTGCCCCCTGATCAAAAAATTTCCTTCCAGCTGACATTTAACAACCAAATCATTGATGTTTAATGTTTTTGTCTGAAAATTGTAAAGACTAGGCTGTTTCTTCAGTTGCTCATCCAACACCTACGCTTTCAGGCATTAAAAAGACAATAAACAAATTATTAAACTTGTCGCTGATAATCTTGTTTGCTTTTGAATATCATAAAAAGCTCACTGTGAATTTTGGTCTCGTTTATCAACTTAAAAAAAAAAAAAAAAAGAAAGAAAAAAAAAAAAACTCCCCATAGGAGCTTTAAGTGAAATGTCATTAAAGGTGTTATTTTGTTTTATGATTTCACTGAAGGGACTTTATAGAAGAAGCAAAACAATATAGATAGAGTTGCCTTATTTTAAACTCTTATTATTCTGAACATCTTACACGAGTCTCTGACCAAGACACAGTACACTGAGTGCTTATGTGCTGGACTGTCTCTGGGCAGAGGTTGGTTACCCAGCAGAGACTACAGAACAGTACAGGACTGGAGTGTACGTAACGCATTTTCACAGGCCTATACAGCATAGTCTTTGTTTTCTGTTATAACAATGAATATTCACACATTAGAGCGCATTACATCTCATGAATCAGAGGAGCAGAATGATCATGTTGACACAGATTGTTAGCCGCCTGGACCGTGGTGAATCTGATCCTGGTTTCCCATGCTCTGTGACCGGTCTGGTGATGCACTAAATTGGTGAAAATCAGATAAACTAGAGATTTGTCTTGTTTGGCTCTTATTTTACATACATTTGATCACTGGAGATTGTGTGATCAGGTCGTGTAGTGTTTCAGTGTTTAATTTAGAGGTTAATTTTTCTTTTTTGACCCAGAAATAACATAACATGAGGTTATGTTATCACTAACTATAGTGTTTCTACAATCCTGATGATCCCTTTAATCCAAACAAGGAAGCATATCTCTGTTCCCACCTACAGAAACCTGTCATGTGTGGGAAAATGTGTTGCACAGAAATAACATATTTTAATATTAAGAAGTGGAGCATGGTGATGGAATTGGGTTCAAGACAAATCCAGACATGTCTCTGCAGTCCTCTCCTGGCATCATGTGGTCACAGGGGTCCAGCCTGTCTGCAGGACCACGCCTAACATGTGCTTACGTCAGAGTGTACAGTACAGCCTCTGTGTGTTAGCGTGCTTCGCATGTGAAGTGGGCAGGCCGCCAGTGCTCCCCAAGGGCCTCTGGGTAATTATGTTACAGGGTAAGGTCCTTCATTCATTGGAGGGGGGAAATGTGTGCTTGCGGTTTAGGGTAAAGTTAAATCCAGAGGATTCAGAAGGAGTCCTAATACTGGGTTTAACTGAGACTGGGTGTGTCTGGGGGGAACATGCTGTGACATACATTGAGTGCACTTCAACATGCACACAGGCATCATAAAAGAGCTATATATAAACAATGTGACACTCTAGTCTAAGAGCCCCTTATGTTATTACTGAGAGGGAGAGGTCTGATGAATTAAGCACTCAATGCAAGTTTTGTATGATGTGGGAAAGAAGTGTCAGAGTGGAGGGCAATACCTTGAGGTTGAAACTATTATTACTCACAAAGGTACAAAATTTAGATTTGAGGGTACTGGTCTGTTGAATTATGACAACTCCTAATTTTCATTTGATACTTAGGTTCTGAGTGGTGAACAAAAAAAGGGCATCAAAAGTTTTTTGTCAAGAATTCAGAAAAGTGATACAAGACAGGAGAGGCATCCTTCAGATACATCAGACTATCGTCTCATCTCCCTCCACATCAATAGCAAATGCTGTAAATGAGCAGTACAGCTTGTTTTACAACATCTGTTGACACTGTTTTAAGACTTTACTTTTGGTGTTTACAGCAGGGGCGTATTTATACTATTTGGACTGTGGTGGCCCTCCTGAGGCACTGACTTATACGCAGAGGTGGCATGAGGTAGAAGTGTACACAAATGAATATCATTATGTTCAGTTGTCATGAATCATATAAAGTTTAAGTATCCTACAGGTGTTATTTTCCTGTGCAGAGTTTCTAAACTTGCAGCTGCATTTAGACATTAAAGATATGTGTTGAGGCTGTGTAGGGATGTGTTGCATCACTTGCTCACTTGGGAAATAAGTCATCTCTAAAGGTGTCTTAATGTACAAATGCAAAGGTGCTTAAACTTATTCCTGTCGTGTTTGCGTGATGGATTGATTGTTTTTGTTTATGGAGCACTATTCTGGACCAGCTCATTAAGTTTCTTGATTTTTCCTCAGTTTTGCATGATGTTTTTAAAGCATCTGCTTGACTCATGAGCCTCCATCAGTGTTTCAAACAGCTTCTTACAGCTGCCCTCAAGTGGCCACCGTCAGTAATTACAGGTTCCAGTAAGGCTCCAAGTAAATGTGCACAGCTTCTTGCATTAATATTTCTTTCTTTTTTTAATCCTTGAGGGGTTCTGGCAAAAGCTTTTCACATTTCAAGGTCACATGGTGAAAAATGATCCAGCTAAGGTTTTCTTCTGAATGTTGACAGTACAGTAAATTTTCAGCTCTAGTTTATCATCCTTTGATGTGTTTGGTTTTTCATTAAGTGTCTGTTCAAGATTTTCTGCTTTAGTCAATTTCATTTTTCATGGTGGTCTAAGGATAGTAATAAAACAGGGTGCAGCTGGTGTTTCACATCACTTCACTGCAGGGAGCAGAGAGGAAATCACATCTGGCTGCAGAGTTCAAGGTTATTTAAAAAAAACACACATACAGATATCATTTTGGGGCGGCACAGTGGTGTAGTGGTTAGCACTGTCGCCTCACAGCAAGAAGGTCCCGGGTTTGAATCCGGGTCAGGGCATTTCTGTGTGGAGTTTGCATGTTCTCTCTGTGTCTGCGTGGGTTTACTCCGGGTACTCCGGTTTCCTCCCACATCCCCAAAAACATGCCAAAGTGAGGTTAGGTTAATTGGCCACTTCCAAATTGCCCATAGGTGTGAATGTGAGCGTGGATGGATGTTTGTCTCTATATGTCAGCCCTGCGATGAACTGGCGACTTGTCCAGGGTGTCCCCTGCCTTCGCCCAAAGATGCTGGGATAGGCTCCAGCCCCCATTTTGTGTAACAGACAAAAAATCTGAATAAACAGAAAAAGATACTTTTCTCTCGTAAATTTGAGAACTTTTTATTCAACATCTCACAGGACGAAAGTGCATTATGTTGAAATTAAGAGTTTGATATGTTTAGTCTCAAATACATGTTCACAATTTATACACCACCCTTATTTTTTTGAGTTAACCAAACATCAAACACTCAGTTTAGTAAGAACCTCAGTCAAAGTTTTGATGTTATAGATCACTAGAAAGACAGAGATTTGCTCCTCTTCAACCTTCTGACCTCCAATTGCTGTAGAAAAGGTCAAGATTTTTGAGGAGAAACTTCATGTAAGCAGAGCCTTCCTTACATCAATACCATGTGATCAAACTTACAGTGCTCCTCTGTCATTCAAATGAAAACCTGTACAGTCATCAAGCTTCAAAATCCGAAAATCAGACATCATTAGATTACAATGAGTGATTAAGCGCAGTGATTGGAGCAACTGCAGGTATACAGACCACCTTTACACACCTTCATCACCAGCCTCCATCCTCACATACCGAAGCCATCTCTTTAAAGTCCTTTTTTCAGCCCTCATGAATTAATAAAACTAAATCATTATATCGTAAAACTCCTCTTTACTTGGCTTGGATATATGAATATTATGACGACATCCAGGAAGACGCCATCAGTTGGAAAAATAAACTGAGGCTGAACATTTAAAGGCACTACCATGGCAACACTCTGAGCTGTAGCTACGAAATTTATGCTTCAGACTTGCTGTGCAGACCCTTTGAGCTTGAATGAATTGGTGTGTCATTTACATCACATTATCTCTTTTATAGGGGAATAACCCTTTAAAAATACAAATCTCAGGTGCAAAGTTAGAGATCAATATCAGGTCTTCCCAGGATTAATACTGACTGTTGTTTTCTGGCGTTGCGTATCAGTATAAAATTAATCACACTGAGATGTCCGAGTTGAAACACGACACAATCTCCTGCATCAGTGAATTCAACAACACTTTCCTCACTTCACATGATGTCACTTAAGCTACAGTTTGCTGCTAAGCTGTGGCTGTGTGCAGGTGCTAGCTGTCCCCGGAAAACCTCCATCAAAGGCGGCGTTCAGGACTTCGTCCAGGCTCCCGGCAGTGACAAAGTCCAGGTCGGCTTGAACGTTGGCTGGAAGCTCCTCGAGGTCCTTCTCGTTGCGTCTGGGGAGGATGATGCGCTTCACTCCTGCCCTGTGAGCCGCCAGGACCTTATCCTTGATCCCGCCCACCTAGGGAGGAAAGAACAATTCAGTCCATTAAAACACTGTGAACTGGTTTGACCTCGTTTGTCCTCATGTTGTTTCTTTGTGGCAAAAAAAAGGCACTGGGAAGAAACATGCAGGATGAGCAACAAGACAATACACAGGGGCTTCACTGCTGTGACAATCATCTCCTGATGTGGGATAATGTAAGGCATATTGACGAACACTGTTAAGCATGTGATGACAACAATCCCTGATGACTGTGATTCATTCTTTTGTTCAGTATGTAGTTTAGTCATGGTGGGATTTAGTCTTGTGTGGTGTGACTGAGTCAATACAAGCATGGACAACTTGTTTGGAAATGTAAATCTGAAATAGGGCTGTCGTAACTTTAACTGGCCATCAAATATTAATACCATGACATATTATTATGATATTTATGAAAAGTTTTATATCCCATTTAGAGAGTTTTAAAACAACAAAGTAAAGTTGACAAAAACCCAAGACAAGGGTGGAGTAATATATGTTCATAAATTATATCAATAGTCCTTTAAAACTTGAAATGAGCTCATTAAACAATTGTTTGATTTTTATTTTAATATTTTGCTTTATGCTTTGAAACTGACTATTAGCATGGGGCGGCAGTAGCTCAGGAGGTAGAGCGGTTGTCCAATAACTGGAAGGTCGGCGGTTTGATCCCCCCCCCATCCCTAGTCTGTCTTTTGTGTCCTTGAGCGAGACACTTCATCCACCTTGCTCCCAGTGTGTGTCCTCCACTGGTGTATGATTGTGAGTGTTGTGTGGTGGTGGTTGGAGAGGCTGTAGGCACAAACTGGCAGCCATGTTTCCATCAGTCTACCCCAGGGCAACTGTGACTACTAAGGTAGTTTATCACCACCAAAGTGTGACTGTGTGAGCGAACGAATGATGTTTCCAATGTAAAGAGCTTTGAGGGTGACATGTTATTGTTAGTTTATTCCCTTCATTGTCTGACTTTGCTTTTATTTTGAAGTTTACACTACCAGGTTAGACGGTATCCGAGGCTCTAACAGAGCATTTGGCTTTACCAAAAAATCATGGGATTTCTAAGTAGCATATAGAGTAATATGTTTCCCTGCCAAAAATGAAACTCATGTAAACTACAGTACACAGAAAAATATACTCTAGTACTCAAGTAAATGCACTTCATTATTCACCACTGCATTCACTACTTTGTGTTTTTGCTGAGCTGGAGTGTTTGAAACAGGGAGATGTAAAGCAGTATATTCTCACCTGATGTGCTTTTGTTCCTGCAACATCTGAGAGTCCCTGTTGCTCCCTGTCCCAAACTGATGCTTTTTTTTGTCATCCATGCTGGTTTATGTTGATGTGTAGGACTGTTTGTTCTTCACTGGAGGGGTGTAAAGGACCTCTCTTTTTACAGGGTCAATGTGATTTTAGTGCTGCCCTCTGTTACCATTCTGTACCTCCCATGATCTATCTTAGTCTTGTCTTACATACAGAATAGTTCAGGACTAACAGACTCAGCCAGATCAAGCTTCTTCCATTTCCTTGATCACCAGGATGACAGGTCCAACATCCAAGAGCAGAGGAAACCAAACCAGCACCTTCCTGCAAAGGTTGCTGTGGCATTGGCTTTCTCTTTAGGAATAAAGACAGAAAAGGACACTGACCCTCAAAGCAAAACCAGTGTCTGTCTACACAAGCGCATAACTAACACTTCAACATGTGTTGAATGTGTGGGACCCACCGGCAGCACCAGCCCTCTGAGCGTGATCTCTCCTGTCATGGCAACATCGGATCTGACCAATCTGCCGCTAAACAAGGAGGCGAGGCAGGTTACTATGGTAACACCTGCAGAGGGGCCATCCTTGGTGACAGCTCCAGCGGGGAAATGGAGGTGGATGTCCGTCCCTTCGAGTGGATCTGGCCCTCCAGTCACTGCCAAACACACAAAACATTGGAGATTAGAAAAGCCTGTTACAGAAAAAGCATATTTCCATAAAAGGAGATTTTCACCGCCTGTACTGTGAGCTGTGGTGAACTCACTGTTGGTGAGCTGGTAGGTTTTAGCATTCGCTCGGAGCCAGCTGATAGCCAGATGGGCTGATTCTTTCATGACGTCCCCAAGCTGTCCTGTCAGAGTGAGCTGACCTTCTCCTTCTGTCCGACTGGCCTCCACAAACATGATTTCCCCACCGAGAGGGGTCCAGGCTAGACCCAGAGCCACACCAGGCAGGGTGAGCCGCTCAGACACCTTCCAACACACACACACACACACACACACACACACACACACACACACACACACACACACACACACACACACACACACACACATACACACACACACACACACGAAGCATCAACTGAGCTGTTTTTGACAGAATAATCAGAAAACAAGAAACAGAGACTTTTCTATCTGGTAAATTTCAAAGATGAGCGTGAAAAAGAAAATCTGAATGACCTCAGTGAATGAATGAGGGAAACAAAAGAAGGAGGGTGAGGAGGAAGAGGAAAGAGAGATCCTAACAAAGGCATGACACCCGCTCTCAGGCAAACTCTAGTGTTTCACATTAGACTGTATCATACATGATGTTTTCAACTATCTAATCTAATGAACCACAGCTGCTGCTGCAGAGCTGTGAGAACTCTACACAGGCTCTCTTTTTAAGCCTGAGAGAGACCCACAAAGTTGAGATGCTACAGGAAAACTCTGCAGCTCCTCTCGGCTCTGCTGGTGTCTGCTCACCTCCATCTCAAACAACGGCGGTCCCAGGATGTCTTTCAGTGCGATGTGGTTGATCACTATAGGCATCTCTGGAGGCGCCACTTTGTCTGAACACACATAAAATTAATCACATAGGGTGTGCTGCAGGGATTTAGGAACAGTTCAGTATTTATACAGCAAAACTCAATCTGTTAGATACATGGGATATCACATTTTGGCAGAGGTTTCTGTCCTTAAAGTCAGATGGAAAGTATCAGGTTGAAGGGAAAACATCTCAGAGTTATAACCACATTTCTGGAATCAGTTAACTAAAACCTGTGAAGTTTTGAAAAATAATTACATTACCTCTGCACACGGACACATCTTACATATAGAGTGACTGTTAAAGAAAAGAGCCAGAGGAAAAAAAAGACCAAAGACACTGTGCCGCTGATCCTCTCCCTGACACTGAGTGAATGCAAATATCCACATTCTGTTGCACCCCAACTGATCAAACTTTTTATCACCCAGCACCCCATTTAAAAGAATTCTCAGGAAGTAGACATGAGCCAAAACGTGACCACAACGAGGCCCACAGATGGTGGTCACCATAGTGAAAATGCTATGTAAAAAAAAAAAGGCTCCGAGATGTAAAAAAAAGGCTTTTAGCTTCTTGGCAAACAGCTACAGTGCGCCAACCTGTCAGTCATATCAACCACACTCCCTTATTCATATCACACGTATCCATCCATCCATATTCCTCCACTTATGGTTGGGTTACAGGAGGAAGAGTGAACAAAAAGCTCAGCTCTCTCTTAACCACAAAGGTCCATTGCTGCACTTGCAGTACTGCTGATGTCCCATTAATCCGCCTATCAATCTTAGGATCCATTTTACCCAGACTCCTGTACAAGACCCCAAGATACTTGATGTGGGCCCTGCTTGCCCTGATTAGGTCCCATTGGCTTTTGTAGCCAGCTGCAAGTGCTCAAGTGGACACTCGAGGAACTGCATTTTTTTTTTGACATTTGCAACAGCTTCAATTTCCATTACTGGAGACTACCACTGTCATGTGAACTCAGCAGTTTACAGTCCCCAAAATTTACAGCAAGCAAGTAGGGCTATGATCAACCAAAGCAACCAAAGACATTCTTGGTCGACTAAAACCCTGAAATTTTCAAGGTGGGGTGGGAGGGGGTTCTAACGGCAAACCCTTCTGTGGCGGGGGATGACGCGGCTCGGACGTTGATTGATGTGGACACTCTTAAATCTTCCTGTCTCCAGCCGGTCTCCAGTGGGTTGGGCGAATCCAATATGGTGAAAACATGGGGGTGTTCTGAGACAGGCTGTGAAATGGGAGTGCTCTGACAACACCCCCCTTACCACTTGGTACATTCCTCCTCATGAAATTAACCATAGACTGTAAATTGTTGCGGAATAATATTGAGTCGACCAATCCGACTTTTGGTCGACTCAGCGGGTATCGACCAAAAAATCGACCAGTCAAATGGGACTTCACAGCCCTACAAAGAAGTTTGCGGAGTGATGCCTGTGTTCAAGTTGAGTGGAGTTCCTCTGCCCAACAGTTTTGTCTGCTTGTCTCGGTTGTCTTAGTTGTAAAACCCAGTTTTCCGACTGATATGAAGGGCTGCTCCAAAAATATCAGGGTCCTAATGTCCTGTAATCTTCAAGGAAATATCATGAGCTTATGTGTAAAAGGGGCTTTTCTCTAAAGAGAGCGTTAAAAAGGGGGATTACAGCAGCTGAAACTGATATTGAGCATTTAGCTGTTATAAAAAAAACACACATATTCACACACTGATGTTATTCAAACGTACAAAGAAAACCAGATGTCCATCAGTGAGTGAACACAGTTATCCAGCAAATGATGTCCTTTAGAAAAATTCAAATACCTAACAAGAACATGATTTGAACCCACACACGAGCACACATTCACACACTCACCCACAGATCTTTCATGCTTCAGGTCACTATCATCAGTTCACTGGCAACATGTTATGCAGATGACACCCAGCTATACCTATCCATAAAGCCAGAGGAAGCAGGCCAGGTTGCTAGGTTAGAAGCCTGCCTCAAAGATATAAAATCCTGGATGACCAATAACTTTCTAATGCTCAACTCAGACAAAACTGAAGTTCTGGTCCTCGGTCCTAAACACCTTAGAGAGGCATTCTCTAGTAATTTAGCTACATTTGATGGTATCAGCCTGGCATCCAACCCCACTGTGCGTAATCTAGGAGTTGTATTTGATCAGGATTTATCTTTTAGCTCCCACATTCAACAAATTTCTAGGACAGCCTTTTTCCACCTGCGCAATATCTCAAAAATTAGACGCATATTGTCTCAGAGCGATGCAGAAAAACTAGTCCATGCCTTTGTTACCTCTAGGCTGGATTACTGTAATTCTCTCCTATCAGGCTGCTCTAGTAAGTCATTAAGGACTCTTCAGCTGGTCCAAAATGCAGCAGCTCGGGTATTGACTAGAACTAGTAGAAGGGAGCACATCTCCCCTGTTTTAGCCTCTCTTCACTGGCTCCCTATTAAATATAGAATTGAGTTTAAAATCCTCCTTGTGACATATAAAGTGCTTAATGGCCAGGCGCCATCATATCTCGACGAGCTAGTTATACCGTACTTTCCATCTAGACCGTTACGCTCACAGTCTGCAGGTCTGCTCGTTGTACCAAATGTCTCTAAAAGTAGTGTTGGAGGAAGAGCTTTCAGCTACCAGGCACCTCTCCTCTGGAATCATTTACCGCTCGAGGTTCGGGGGGCAGACACACTCTCAACTTTCAAGAGTAGACTTAAAACGTTCCTCTTTGATAAAGCATATAGTCAGGGCTGATTTGAACCAGCTCTTAGTTATGCTGCTATAGGCCTAGACTGCCGGGGCTATCTGGCACACTGAGCTAGAATCTGTCTCTATCTCCTCTTTAGATCTTTATGTCCCATATAAGTCACTGACCAGTTTTCTGTCTCTCTGAGTGTCTCTGAGTCTTTTAGCTGCCACTGGACTAATGCTGCAAACGGTCTGCTGCGGAACTGCCTGACCCCAGCTGCATCCATCCTGGGCCCTGAGCTCCTCCATCTCTTTGGCTCTTTGGCTTCTCTGGACCGTTGCTGCAGAGACCCCCCCCCCCCCCCCGGCCCTGAGCTCCTTCTTCTCTCTGATTCCTCTGGACTGTTACTGTTAGTGCAGACATGAACATCAGCCTCACTGTCATTATTGACATACAAAATAGAACTGACTACGATTAAGCCTGCTAACTGTAATCACACTCAATTAATTCAACATTGTCCATTATTTCTCATATCCTAAACCTGTAAACTGAACGTCTTTTTGTTTCACCATTACATGAGCTGTTGTCGTTGTTGCTGTTGTTCCTGCTGCCTCCTGTCTCTCTCTCACCCTCGTTCCCTACTCTCTCTCCCTCCCCCTCCCTCTCCGTACTAATTCTCTCTCGCCTTTCCCCTATCTTGCTGTCTCTCTCCCTCCCCCTGTCCTCTCCCCCTCTCCCCTCTTCTCTCTACATTCCTCCCCAACCCAGCAGCGGCATGGTGGCTGTCTAGCATGAGTCTGGTCCTGCCCAAGGTTTCTGCCTGTTAAAAGGAAGTTTTTCCTTGCCACTGCTACTCATGTTAGTTGAGATGGGCCAAAACCCATCTTAGGTTGGTTCTTGATCATCAAACAATGAGCGTGGTCTCGACCTGCTCTTGTTCTTTGGAAAGCGTCTTGAGATGATGACTGTTGTGAATTGGCGCAATATAAATAAAATTTGATTGATTGATGATTGATTGAACATGAAGCGCTTTCTGCAAAACAGCTCAAAACAACCTCTCACGTCTTCAGTTTTTTCCTCATCTCAATTGTGTTTCTTCTTCTTCTTCTCTGACTGAAAATAATTTATCGCTAATCTAATTTTGATTTCTTTGTCTACTCATATCTGGGGACACATTTCTGATCAAAGAGGGATTTAACAGGATGAACAAAACAGATTAGGACTTTTTAATGTCACACTAAAAGGAGTTGAAGATACAATAAGACAGGTTGTGCTGACAGAAGACTTGGGAGGTTGTTATTTACTAATAAAGAGCAGCTGGCTGAACATTTTCCAGCTCATTAAACAGCCATCGAGAGGCATCGAGAGGCACTTATTGGGGTACTCCAGACAGAATTTAGAGGCTTCAGCAGCTGAGAGGAAATATGGTGTTTAATCGTCCATGATATGACTGATTACCGCACAAAAAAAAAGGTGCCCACATAAACAGAAAACACAGTTGTCCCGACATGCTTTCCTAAATGCTCACATGTGGATATCTAAAGCTCATGAACATATGCAGGGTGTTTCATGAACTCAGAAAAAGAGCAATTTAAATAAGAGACAAGGTATTACAAAGGCTAACAGCCCCTTCTTCAGCAGGCGTTTTAAACTGGTCTACAGACTGAGAGCTCTGCCCCTTACCTCCCTGCTGTTTCAAGTCCTGGGGAGGCACAGCTTCCTCCGTTTTCGTGACTCTGTGGCCCTCAGCGACCTTTACAGCCACTGCTCGGCAGATTGCTCCAATCTTTCTCTCCAATGAGCGCACCCCCGCTTCTCTGGTGTACCTGAGAGAGAGGAAATAAAAACAGACAGACACGAAGTCTTAAGGTTGTTACCATAGACTGTATATACTTTGGACAACTTGGTTCCGCCTCCCGCCTCTATACGGATTTGAAGCCAAAAAGCTCTCTGTATTTCCAGGATTTTTCTTCATTTCCTGAAACCAGCGCTGCGCAGTAGCGATGCGCACATTCTGCCGCGCAGTCGCAGAGAGTCGCTGTGATGACGCTCGGCTCAAACAGCGTATCCCCCCGGGAGAGCTACGCAATCCCTGAACGCCCATAGACTGTATCAGGTGTCAATCATAGAAAACATGAACCCCCTAATAACTTTTGAAAATGGAGCTTCACAGAAAAAAGAGGACTTGAGCACAAACCAGTCTTACAATAACTACATGTCAACATCACAAGCAGGGGGGAGAAAAATTTAAGTTCTGTGTAATAAATTTCTAAAGTTTGTCCACAGCTCCATAAGCTTTGCTGGCGGAGGCGGGATTTATGACCTATACTGCAGCCCATCAACAGAGGGTGCTGTTCTCGGAGTGGCTTCACCCAGCGAGGAGGCAGACTCTGTCCATTCTATATACAGTCTAGGGTTGTTACAAAATCAGGGACAGAGTAGCAGTAGACTGTGTCAGCTCTGTAATCACTCAGCATAGACAGAGACTGAACACTAGACTCTACATCTACTGTATGGTAAATGGACAGCAGGACCCGGGATAGAACTCCTGACCATCCGCTTAACAGACAAACTGTCTCTGCCACTAAACAACTGCTGCCCCAGCCCTCTGTGTGTAAAGCACGTGTATGTTTGTGTGTGTGTAATTATGTTTGTGTACCTGCTGATTATGTCCTGAGTGGTTTCCTGAGGTATATGCAGTTGTTGAGGTGTTAATCCATGCTGCTCCAGCTGGTTCGGGATCAGGTGACGGTGGGCTATCTCCACCTTCTCCTCCTGTGTATAGCCTGACACATACACATGCACATCATAGATTTTGTGTAGCTTTTTCTTTAGACACAATACATATTTTTTCCTACGCCAAGGAGGTTATGTTTTCGGTAGCGTTGGTTTGTTTGTTTGTTTGTGAGTTTGTTTGTTTGTTTGTCTGTTAGCAACTTTACGGAGAAAGTAACAGACGCATTGACCTGAAATTTTCACCAGAGGTGCGTCTTAGCCCCAGGAGGATCCCATTAAATTTTGGTGGTGATCTGGACAAAATTCTGGATACTGTGATCCAGAACACACAAAAATAAGGGTGTCGTTGGAATTTTCAATGCTGAAAGATAACCAATGGGCCACACAGTGGTGTAGATAGGCGGAACAGTGGTGTAGTGGTTAGCACTGTCACCTCACAACCAGAAGGTCCTGGGTTCCAGTCCGGGTCAGGGCATTTCTTGTTATAGGAACATTATGAACAGTGAACATACCAGTTTAAACACAAATAAAAGTTAATAAAAGACACGTAACAGTAAAAGTTTTGGTGTGAATCACAATATAAGGGGGGACATGAGCTGCTTGGCGGAGGTCTGCGCTCTCCAAGTGCTTTTCTAGTTTATTTATGGATCATGCTGACATTTACACTGTATAAAATGGGGTTATTTGGTGTTAAAATCTTTTATATTTCAGCTCCCATGAGAAGCTTTTAGTTTGTGCCAGGTTTGGTGAACCTTATGGACAAAGTAGTCTTTGCTTACCTCATTCTGTGTTGACTTAAGTGGTATCGATATACTACATTGATTAATATGCAATAATTACTGAATAAAACATGTATCATATATCATGATATCAAATTCTGTAAATGAATAAAGCACAGTTGAAAAGAAAACAGGTAATTGATGTGTAATAGTAAATCTCCTTGCAAATTACAGTTTAGTCATAACAGAGTGTGGATCAAACAGCTCCTCTGTATTTGGGCTCCAACTGTGTGTGTGAGACCCTCAGGGTGTGGCAGACAACAGTCAAATTTATCATTTATAAATGTGTAAAAAAAAAAAGAACGGGTCTGTTTCCTTAACTGCTTAGCTAACACTTTCTCTTGCACTGGTTTCAGGCATTAAATTCAAAATATTATAAATCCTCAATCTTATCGCTGATTATGTTGTTTGCTTTTGAATATCATAAAAAACGCCTAAATATTTATTTAACCTACTATCTAAATGTCAATAAAAACTCCCCACAGCAACTTTAAACAATATTTTCAATGTTATTCAGATTGCTCTGGTCATAGGTATCTGTTCTTTAACATCCTCACATGCATTTAAAGACAGTCTTTTTGTGCTTTTTGTGTGCTTTTCTTGTGGTGTTATATCGCTCAGCTGTTTAACAGTCACATAACATCTCTGCTGCAATTATTTTTCTCGGCATCAAAACTCGGCCTCAGTATTTGGCTAACTTTATTTGGCTGTATTTGGCTACTTTGCTCCAGTCAGCATGTCTTTTCATCTGTCTTCCTCCTAACGCTGTAGCAATGGTAGACATCTGGTATTTGTCAGAGGGGGTACACCTGCTTTACAGTTAAGTGCTGCCATCCACTGTTTCTCCGTTTAATTACCAAAAAAGACTAAATGACCATCCCATTCAACATGTCTAGGATGATTTTATCATCAAACCGTGCTGTCAGGTGGTGTTAGTGATAGCATGAAAACTCCGAGTACAAGCATATCATATGGGCGTCAATATCAACAACAGACTGGACTGGAAATCCAACAGTGATGCTGTCTACAAAAAGGGGATGAGCAGACTCTACTTCCTGAGGAAGCTGAGATCCTTCAACGTGCGCAGCAAGATGTTGGAGATGTTCTACCAGTCTGTGGTGGCCAGCGTACTTTTCTTTGCCGTGGTTTGTTGGGGGAGCAGCATCAGAGCCAGTGACACCGACGGACTCAACAAACTGATCAGGAGGGCTGGCTCCGTGATTGGCTGCAAACAGGACACTGTGGAGGCTGTGGTGGAGAGGAGGACACTGACCAAACTGTTATCCATCATGGATAACCCTGACCACCCTCTCCACCTCACTCTGGACAGACAGCGGAGCTCCTCCTCCAACAGACTGTTGCAGCTCCGCTGTCGAAGGGACAGATACAGGAAATCTTTCCTGCCATAAAGCAATTGCACTATTTAATAACTCACATATGTCAGACAGGGACTCACATCTGTCTGCTGTATAGTCCATTTTTAAAAACTCCTACCATTGAGCACCTTAAATTGTCTGTTTATTTATCATCCCATCTGTATATTTCATATTTCATATCTATTACTCATTTCAATAGCCCACGTTTTTCATATCTCACTTTTTTCTCTTAGGATGTTTCGTATATTTAGTCTGTATTTATTGTATATACTTAGTATTTTTAGTGTGCATTATACATACTTCTTGTTATAGTAAATCATATTTTGTATTTATTTATTTTTTGCTGCTGTAACAAGAGAATTTCCCAGTTTGGGATCAATAAAGTCTATCTGTCTATCTATCTATCTGTCTATCTATCTGTCTATCTATCTGTCTATCTATCTGTCTATCTTTCTATCTATCTATCTATCTATCTATCTATCTATCTGTCTATCTGTCTGTCAAGACTTATCATGTGAGCAAATAACACCTTAGCCATCTAAAGGCACTGATTCAATGTTTATGAGTATAATTTTATAATCTTTATATGAATACCACCCTCATATACCTTTACTGATTTGTGTCTGTGTCTTCACATTTGTTTCAAATCAAAACAAATCAATTATATTTATATAGCGCCAAAAAAAAGAGCAGGTCTAGATCACATAACCAAGACCCCACCTTAAGATGGGACAGATTTGACCCATCACATCTAACATGAGTGACAGTGACAAGGAAAAACTTCCTTTGAACAGGCAGAAACCTTGGGTAGGACCAGACTCATGTTAGACAGTCTTTGTATTTGTATAAGAATTTGTATAAATTCTTAGATTAAAGCTTGGCCTGGGGATCAAAAGGAATGCATGGAAATGGTTCCAGAGGCTGACTCTGCACCTCAACTCACCTGGCACCTGCAGCACCTCCATCCTGTCCAGCAGGGCGGGGGGGATAGTGGCTGTAGTGTTTGCTGTGGCGATGAAGAGCACTTGGGAGAGGTCAAAGGCCACGTTGAGGTAATGATCAGTGAAGCTGTGATTCTGCTCTGGGTCTAAGACCTAAAGGTGCAAAAAGAAAGTAATTCAGTGGACTTTGTGTAGACAAATGGAGACTGAAAAAACGAAAGGCAGTCTTAGGAGGAAGTAGAACAATCACTCATTAATCATTTCATTTATCACAGGTTGGGAAACTCTAGTATTAATAATAATACAAACACTAGAAAAGCACTCGGAGAGCGCAGACCTCCACCAAGCAGCTCATGTCCCCCCTTATATTGTGATTCACACCAAAACTTTTACTGTTGTGTGTCTTTATTTGTGTTTAACCCTCACATACTGTTCAAATCCTGTACCCTCACAGTATGTTCCGGGTCAAAATTGCCCCTTCAACGAGTTCAAAGAGCAGCTTTCTGTCACAGAAAGATCTCTTGACTAGTTAGGTCATTTTGACCTCTGTCTAGGTGTGTCTGTGTGACTGTATGTCTGTGTGCGTGTGCGTGTGTGTGTTTCTGTCAAGGTAATGATAGTTTCATAATGATTTGAATATATCTTTTTGAACAACAAATCTTATATTGAACACTGTTGTTACTGTTTGTCACTTGTCCCACACTGCTAGATCTAAAATCCATCTAAATATAGATACGGGTCAAATTTGACCTGTAACAGCCTTAGAGGGGAAAAATTTGTAGCACATAAACAAAAATACACATGAATATTTTTAAATTAATTTCATGTATTTTGGGCAACTTCAGGAAAGTCATCAAGTTTCAGGCTTAAAAAATGATGTTTAGGGTATTTTTACTGCTGTTAAAAGTGAAAACGGGTCAAATTTGACCCGAACAGTATGTGAGGGTTAAACTGGTATGTTCACTGTTCATAATGTTCCTAAAACAAGAAATGCCCTGACCGGGATTTGAACCCAGGACCTTCTGGTTGTGAGGTGACAGTGCTAACCATCTACACCACTGTGCCACCCATTCGTTATCTTTCAGCATTGAAAATTCCAACGACACCCTTATTTTTGTGTGTTCTGGATCACAGTATCCAGAATTGTGTCCGGATCACCACCAAAATGTAATGGGATCCTCCTGGGGCTGATACGCACCTCTGGTGAAAATTTCAGGTCAATGCGTCTGTTACTTTCTCTGTAAAGTTGCTAACAGACAAACAAACCAACGCTACCGATAACATAACTTCCTTGGCGGAGGTAATAATGTGAAGTAGAGAAACAGCTCTGACCTCCAGTAGAGCAGCTGCAGGGTCTCCTTGCAGGCTTTTTCCCAGTTTGTCCACCTCATCAAGCAGGAACACCGGATTATTGACACCCACTGTCTTCAGACCGTTAATGATGCGTCCCGGCATGCTTCCTACATATGTCCGTCTGGAAGACAGACAGGATTTGAACTCCTGATTTACTGTTGATATGTTTCCTCTAAATTTCACACATATTTACAGAGAACTGTGAATGAGTCCGCTGCAGGCATCATCACAGTTACATTAAGCTTTACATATATAGTGCGTTGTCATGTTGGTAATAAACATGACAACACACAACAATCAAACTGAAAAACATTACTCTGATATTATAAAAAACCATGACAAATCATTTTAAGTCAGCTCTGACCAGGTGCAGGAAATGTGGCGGGGCTGGGGCTCCAAGAAGGAAATGAGATACAAAAGAAAAGTCTCAACCAGGCACTACAGGAGTGGTTTAGTTTTCTGAGAATGCTTTTTAAAGAGAGAAAAAAAGGAGATTATTGGACTTTTGTCTTAATCCCTTTAACTCCTGCTGTTGGTATGCCGGAAACATGTTTAACATCTGGGCGCACGAAGGTGTCTCAACTTTGTCTTCTTTCAGATCATTACCGCCAGCGCTGCACTGTGAGGTGAACTCTGCTGCCCTCTTACCTCCCTGACACCCTCTGGCACACTTCAGCATCAGTCAAAAGAGGTTTCACAACAGTCTGTACACCAGAAGAGCTGTGATGTTGTCTGGCATCCCTCCAGTACTTCTGTGAACTTTTAAAGAGCTCTTCCAGTGTGCTTTATTCTACTGCCCTGCCTAAGATGCGTATTTTCTGATCCATAGAAAGACCCAAGTTCTCAGATTTCTCAGAAATATCCCTCACATCTGTGCAACGTATAACTTTCTCATGGTGCTTTTTATTCTTTCATTTCATTCTGATCATATGGTCCATGATATGTTCCCTGAAGTCCTTGAGGTCATGTGTTTATGTTTGTCTGGTAAACAGTCTGTCCACTTTTTACCTGTTTTGTTCCTCTATAAAAAACTTTTAACTATTTAGTTGTTCCTACAAGAACGTTTTTACCTTTTTGGTTGTTCCTACAAGAACTTTTACCTGTTTGGTTCTTCTTCTATAAGAACTTTTACCTGTTTGGTTCTTCTTCTACAAGAACTTTTACCTGTTTGGTTCTTCTTCTGCAAGAACTTTTACCTGTTTGGTTCTTCTGCTATAAGAACTTTTACCTGTTTGGTTCTTCTTCTACAAGAACTTTTACCTGTTTGGTTCTTCTTCTATAAGAACTTTTACCTGTTTGGTTCTTCTTCTACAAGAACTTTTACCTGTTTGGTTCTTCTTCTATAAGATCTTTTACCTGTTTGGTTCTTCTTCTACAAGAACTTTTACCTGTTTGGTTCTTCTTCTATAAGAACTTTTACCTGTTTGGTTCTTCTTCTATAAGAACTTTTACCTGTTTGGTTGTTCTTACAAGAATTTTTACCTGTTTGGTTGTTCCTACAAGAACTTTTACCTGTTTGGTTCTTCTTCTATAAGAACTTTTTACCTGTTTGGTTCTTCTTCTGCAAGAACTTTTACCAGTTTGGCTCTTCTTCTATAAGAACTTTTACCTGTTTGGTTGTTCCCATGTAAGAACTTTTACCTGTTTGGTTCTTCGTCCATAGGAACTTTTTTCCAGTTAGGCTGTTTCTCTTAAAAAAACTTTTTACCAGTTTGGTTGTTCCTATGTAAGAAATTTTTACCTGTTTGGTTGTTCCAACATAAGAAGTTATGGGGTTTTCCTCCATAACAACTTACAGCATATAGCGCAGTGCAAATAACAGAACAGACCCTGATTATATAAACAAGGCAAAGGCCAATGGAGACAAACCCATACTTTGTACCAGGTTGTTAACATGTTTCATTCTACTGTAAAGCAAACATTTTAATATAGGGTTTAATGGGGTTTGTGAGGAAACTTTAAGTAAAAACATGAGAGACTGCAAATTTTTGTGCTTCTACTTTGACATCATTTTTCAATTACAGGGATTTACAACTTGGGAAAACAGACAAAGAGTGTGGTTACATCAGCGTCTGTATAAGCTGTTTTCACCTTCTGCTCAACTGGCCAAAATTTTCATCCAGTTAACTGACAAAGAAAGTTTCTCCTGCAGGTGAAATATGAGATGAATGTAGACTGACAGAGGATTATGGTTTGGAGTTCGACTAAATAAAGAAAAATGTTTGAAGTTTTTTTTTATTGAACAGATAAGTCTGAGTTAACTGGAACTACACACTCAATTTTATTACATCCTTATTCAATTCACAGCCTTTTGTATTACACATAGACTAAGGATGTTTCCCAAAAAGTCATGATCACTTCTAACGCTGACCTTCCTGTGTTTCACAGCTGACGCATGTTCCTGACAAGTCTGAAATACAGTTCCTGGCTGATTTGTGCCTGGTGATTCTCCATTGTGTGTTCTGGAGGTCCTACCCTTGTGTGGTGTTCAATTCCATAAACGTCTTCAGATGTTATGATAAAAGCTGCCTTTCATCTGCAGGGCCAACACACACAGGCACGCTTAGAGGACAAATTGGCGAAGCTTTTCAAGAACGCTGGCTGCAACTTGAACCAGTGTGCTCCAAATGGACTGACTAATACTTTCATCACTCCATCTAGACAGGCAAACTGTCTTCCTTTAAGTTTAAAGCAAAATAAAGAGAAAGCAGATTATTTTCTCATTTCCTGTATGTTTTTTTTCTCTATGAGAACTTTTTTTTAAATTGTAATCCTGTCCAAATGTTGCACTCATTAAACCTCATGTCTCACTCAGCAGCAGAGAGCGCTGTGCTCTAGTAAACATCTCCAGAGTCAACAGAAGCGCCACTTTCATAATCGCAAACTCACACTGCGGTGGAACTTGATTGTCCAATGACGTGCCGCCTCTAAACAATGAGACACTAAAACTGTGACTTATAATCATTGCAGATGTTTTGTTTGTACACTAAGGATGATCAACATCAGTAAATAACAAGCATTCAAAAGAATACAAGCCACTTACGGCCTTTTCATAAAATTTCAAAATGAAAAACAAAAAATAGTATGGATTCATAAACTAGTTTTGTAACATCAATTACGTTGCATACCTGTGCCCTCGGATGTCAGACTGATCACAGACTCCTCCCAGAGCGATGCGGTGAAACTCTCTGCCCAGAGTCCTGGCTATGGAGCGGCCCACACTCGTCTTACCGACTCCTGGGGGCCCAACAAAGCAGAGGATGGGGCCCTGAGGACAAAGGATAAAAGCAGGACAGTTACATGCAGTTCATTCAATTTTAACCTGACAAAATTCAAGAATGAACTTCACTTCTTAAACTATTGATTTTTGCTCATCATGCAATGCACAAACTTGAGATGCACTCATGGATCGTCATATAGCACCTTCAGTGAGGCCTTGAGCTGCCTGACAGCTAGGTACTCCAGCACACGTCTCTTCAACTTGTCCATGGCGTAGTGATCGTTGTCCAATAGGGTACGAGCGGCTCCAATGTCCAGGCAGTCTGCAGCATGTGTGTGAGAGAGTGTGTTGACCGATCCCAGACATAAATAGAAACATTATTGTTAGTGAAATGAGCAGCAGAAACAGGGGGGTGTGATCTGAGAAGTGAGAGTGAAGAGAGGACAATAAAATTTTCAGTAAAGCTTCCCAGAGTGGTTTGGCAGATATTTCTGGTTTCCCACATTGTTTGTCAAAAAGATACCCCTGATGTATTTGCATCACAGAGTGACCTCTGACCTCAAGATCTAACCCACTGAGCTGATATTATGGTTTTTGAGGCAGACTGTGGTCAGCAGCAGAAACATAGCAGAGCCTGTTGAAACAAGTGTCTCCACCTCAGTTTGTACATTCAAAGGAAAGCGAGAAACAGAGTTCATTCGGATTTTCATGACTGTAAATCTAATAATATATTCCCTTTAGCTCTGTTTTGGTATCTAAGTCTATTTTATCTTGGGCTATTTAACTGCTAAATGTTCCATGATGTTTACCAGCTGGTTGGCTGCATCTTTGTTTGTCTGCTCTGTAGAGTTCAAACATTTGCCTGCTGCTGGAAAATAGATTCATGGAAGTGCTGAAAGAGAACCCGAAGCAGTAAAAGATGTGTGGAATTATCCTAGAAATACTTATGAGTGCAGCTTTAATGATTGTCTCCTGTCATGGTATGACAACACAAAATGTGCTCAGATTTGTGAATGGGCGTTCCTTGTGAAAATCTTTCCAAAGAAACCTTTATGACTTCATCTTAGCTGGCTGTCCATGAGGCTATTTCTGGACACCATTGGTCTACCTTCATGAGAAAGGAAGTTATAACAATGCTTTTTACAATGCAAAAAGCCATTCTTAACATTTATTACAGTTGAGGGGCGCGCAGTTGGCTGAATGGGTTAGTGCGCCCCACGCATGGGGACCACGGTCCCCGCAGCGGTTGCAGGTTTGAGTCCGGCCCCAACAATGTGCTGCATGTCCTCCCCGTCTTTGTCTATTTTCCCACATTTCACCCTAAAAGCAAAAAATCGTCCCCAAAAAATACTTGATTACAATCGAGACCATAGACTGTAAATAGAATGGACATCGTCTGCCTCCTCGCAGAGTGAAGCCACCGAGGGAACAGCACCCTCTAGTGACTGGCTGCAGTATAGGTCATAAATCCTGCCTCCTCCAGCAATCAATATGGAGTTGTGGACAAACTCTAGAAATTAATTACACAGAATATAAATTTTTCTCCCCCCTGCTTGTGATGTTGACATGTAGTTACTGTAAGACTGGTTTGTGCTCAAGTCCTCTTTTTTCCATGCAGCTCCATTTTTCATGTTTTCTATGATTGACACTTGATACAGCCTATGGGCGTATGGAGATTGCGAAGCTCACCCGGGGGATACGCTGTTGTAGCCGAGCTTCATTACAGTGACTCTCCTGCTGAATGCGTACTACACTACTGCACAATGTTGGTTTCAAGAAGTTGAGAAAAAACCCGGAAATACAGAGATTTTTTTGGCTTCAAATCTGTATAATGATGGGAGGCAGAACCAGGTTGTCCATAGTACATACTCTCTGTGGTCGAGACTTTTCGATCTGGGGTTTTGGAGCCCTTGCACCTTTAGTGTTTATTTACCTTTAGTGCTTTTGCTCCATGGCAGCTCTACCATCAGATCCAAGTAGTTTCTTGTCAAGGCGTACTCAGGCATGGACTGAGGCATCTTCTTCAATCTGAAAACGCACAAATTATATAACAAGGAAACCTATTAGTACAATCAAATATCAAAAACAGGAGTGAACTATTTTATCAGACAAAATTACACCAGAGCAGTAATTTAAAAAGATCAACAAACACTGAAAGGGCTAGAAAATCCGGCATGTTTGCCACAAAACAGAAAGTGAAGGTCTAATCCAGGTAAAAGTTCACCTCTTGAGCTCTTTCAGGCAAACTTTGAGGGCAGCTTCAGGCATGTTGGCCCCGTGCACCTTCCTCTCCAAGGCTACAGTGTCATTACCATCCTCATCTTCATCATCTTCATCCAGGTTGAACTGTCGGCCTGGAAGCACTCCACCTTTACGCACTGATATGACCTAAACAAGTACAAGTACAGAGAGGTGAGCAGGCATACAAAGACAGGCAATAAGATTCATGAGACTATATCTATATCTAAAAACCCATACGCTTAAAAACTAGCAACTTTTTGACAAAATTAAGAATATGAATGATTACAAACTTGATTGAAATGTCTCTGACAAATCTTTAATTAAAACTTAAACCTTCAACATCACAGACAGAAGTAAACAACAGTTACACTTGGAGAAGGTACAGTAAGACAGAACAGTTATGTGACACAGTCTTGTGACATCTAGCCTATCAGACGGGATAGTGGGTGAGACATGAGGTGAGACAGAGTGGTTAATGAAAACAGACCCCAGAGGCAGAGGAGCACTTATGAAAGACTTGCTTTTATTAGCCATCTGTAAAACAAAACCCCCATGTGGATAATCGCCCAAATGCTGAATATCAACCTCAATATCCTTGACTCCTGGTGTTTCTTACCTTTTTCTCATTGTCAGGGTTTCTCTTCCTGGTTTTCTGCAGGAGTTTGAGTCCCTCTATCTGCCTGTTCAACATGGGAAGAGCCTTTTTAAACCGCTCCTCCAAGCTCACTGCATCCAGGACCTTCATAGCAAAGGGGAAACAGAAAGTTGACATAAAAATATACACACTTCAGAGAAAACCTTCACACTTAGCCTATTTTACTGTCTGCACTCTAAAGATTTTCCCCTCTGTAGTTTAAGGAAAGCCTGGCTGCAAACATGGCATCAATTTACCCAGGAACAACATATTTTTGCCTAACACAGTAACAATTTAGTCACAATGTGTGCAATTTGAATAACCTCAAAGCGGCTGCAGTCTCTTTAAAACCCCCAAATCTCAGCTTTAAACCCAGTTTTTGTTTAAAAAACATTCTTTTTTATATTTATTTTTTTCTTTTAAAAAAATTCTGGGGAACAAAGACCCATTAGTCTTCTCACCTGCAGTTTCTCCTTGTTGGAGGTGCGTATCATGGAGGCCACTACATCAGGGAGAGTTTCTTTGGGAAGACTGTCCAGTAGACGCCTGAACTTAGCAACCACTGGAACAGACATGTCCAACATACCTAACAACTACACAAACAGAGGCAGGGACACAACGTGATTCAATTTACAGACATTACCAAACACCACTCCTCGCTACAGGTTGCTGTCATGGTAGATCACATGTTTGCTGTTAGTATGAAACAAGTGTCGACTGCTTCTCATTATAAGAAAAAAAAATATTTCAACGCTCTGGAATTCTTTCGGCGAGTTTTCCAAGAATTCTACTTCATTTAAAACATTTCTGGCTTAAATGTTGAGTTAAGACACAGTCAAACAGCATCTTGATGCCATTTTAATTAACTGGTGAACAAGCTTGTGGGTTTTTTGAGTCATAGTTGTCCACATGTGCTACACAAGAGCAGCTTGCAGGTTTGCCTGTACATTCTTCTATGCCACAGGAGATTTGAAACATCCTCGCTTAAATGTCATTGTTAGATTGATGCAACGCTCTTGTTGCTCAGTATGCTGCCTGTGAGCTTTGCTTCTATAAAAACTGCCAACAGCTGCTCGAATTTTACAATTACTCAGTGGATGTAATACAGACATTAGTGGTCTTTGGATGTGTGGGTATGCATTTCCTGACTCAAGGGTTATCCTTCACAGTATGGTTTTGTCTTGACAAATAACTTATTTAAAGCTGGATTGATTAAGATGAATGTTTCCCGTTTCTTGTTATAGAGTAAGACACATTTTAACATCTCAGACTTTACTCTCAGCGGGAGAAAAAATTCTCTGGCATAGAGCATCAGACACAAAGCCTCTTGAATTAATCCTTTTTTTCTGACTTTTACCTCAAATTTAGTCCAATCAACATGGTTAAATAGAGAAATCAACATCTTTGTTTTTGTTAAGTTTTGTTAAATTTAATCTCTCTCCTTCTAAATGGATATTCCAGTGTAAATGTCAGTTAGGGTCAAACACTCTGTAACAGCAGGTTAGACACCCCCTTGAGAGATGAATGTTGCTGACCGCTTGCTTCTCTAGTTATACCAACTTTAGTAACGACCGCACGACAGCAATACACGGCAGTCTAAGTCTCCATGCGCAAACCTCAACCAAAAAGTCACTCTATAGCCACAAATAATGCTCAGAACAGCACCTAACTTCATCAACAGTACATATAGGGTCCCAGCAATAGTACTAGCCATCAAACATCTTTTTAGCTTTGCCTGATTTCTTTAGCAAAGAGACTAAACACAACTCACCCACTCTCCTCCAGCAGCCACTTGTTTGTGGGGGAGCCCTGACGAGTCGATCACTGAGTGCAGCAGATCATTTCCATGAAGTAATCATCACCATCGACCCGTCAGGGCTCCCCCACAAACAAGTGGCTGCTGGAGGAGAGTGGGTGAGTTGTGTTTAGTCTCTTTGCTAAAGAAACCAGGCAAAGCTAAAACGATGTTTGATGACTAGTACTATGGCTGGGCCCCCATATGTACTGTTGATGAAGTTAGGTGCTGTTCTGAGCATTATTTGTGGCTATAGAGTGGCTTTTTGGTTGAGGTTTGTGTGTGGAGATGAAGACCGCTGTGTATTGCTATCGTGTGGTCATTGCTGAAGTTGGTGTAACAAGAGAAACAAGCAGTCAGCAACATTCATCTCTCAAGGGGGTGTCTAACCCGGTATTACAGTGTGCTTTACCATAACTTAAATTTACGCTGGAACATCCCTTTAAACCTGAATCGTAAACTAGGAATTTCTTTTCCTATTTTTGTTCAGTTAGACACTGCATGTACAGAGTATCCAGACACACACACACCTGGACTGCAGCATGGTAGAACTTCTGGGACAACTCCCCTAGCTCTCCATCTTCTGCTTTGACCCCTTCTGACACTGGGGTCGTGTACTGCTCCAGTTTATCCAACTGCTCCACCTGAAGGTTATTTAAAAACACGGAAGAGGGAACATACACCAGTTAGTTGATTTCTGTATGTGTGCTTGTTAAGTACTAACTTTTGTTTGTTGCACCAGTTTGCCATATTATCATTTATAATTTGCGTGTCATGTTGCTTCAAAGAGGGAAAATAAGTAAGAGATTTAAGCCATCCCCGCTGCAGAGTTTGAAACAAGAGGGAGCACTTCAAACAAAATTTGATAAATGTTCGGCTTTTTTTTTTGTCTTTTGGCTCACACATGCAGTCCTTATATAGTCCTTGTTTTGAATGGTTTTCTCATTTAATAGGAAACACTGTGTTCTCACATTTTTTTGTGTGTTCAAAGGGTGAAGTTCACATGAGTACAGTATGCTCACTTTCGGACCAATTCTGGGCCTCCTCAAACAAACAGTAGGCAGTCTGTCTCTTTTTTTACGTCAGGCGATATTAAACTCTGCCACTGTGAAATCATAGGGAGCCTGATTTTTTAAGAGTGAGAATTAGGGAAAAACCAAACAGCAGAATATCATTTAGCGAGACCAACCAAATAGTATGTTATTATTCACACAGAGAAAGTCTATGTGGGATCTTTAATTATCTGACAGAGAAGCCAAGAGACATTTTGTAATCACCAGGAAACATCTACAGATTATTTACAACCTCCATTTTCAAAAAGTGGAAACAGTAAGATGTTGAAAAAGTCTAATGTTGATGGTTTGTAAATCATCTTAGCTAAATGTCTCATTAAAATAGTGCAGGCAACAAATCAAATTTTGAAATGTATGTTTGTTATTGATTTACAATACACTACTAATGCTGAATTTAATACGAGCAATATGTTTCCAAAAGTAAGGTTCTACGGTGCCTGAGCAAACAGTTCAGCAAAATCAGAATAATGTTCCCGAGTTTAAAAAGACAAAGACTCAAGGGATCTCATCCTCTACAGTAAATAAAATCAACACAAGAATAACAGAATTGAGTGAAATCTCTGTCTAAAGAGGATAAGGTCAAAAAGCTGGATGGTCATGTTCTACAGGTTCCACAGGTGGCACTGTATCAAAAAGAACGAATATGATTATGTAGTGGAAATCACAGTATGGGCTCAAAATCACCCCCAAAAACTGCTGTCTGTGAATACAGTTTGCTGCTGCCTCCATGAATGCAGGTCAATACTGACTATTTAAATAAAAAGGTCAGCAGCTGGAATCCTGTGTTTTGCAGAATGGGATATTAATGGGGTAAAAAATTCAACAAATACTCACCCCACCAGATCTCCAAAAAAATATCCATGCTTTCAATTTCTCAAGGCTGGACTACTGCAACTCTCTCCTCCCTGGTTTAAATAAGAAATCACCCTTCTGCCTTTAACTAGTTCAGAATGCAGCAGCGAGGCTTTTAACTGGTTTTAGTAGATGGCATCACATCACTCCAATTTTAGCCTCCCTCCACAGGCTTCCTTTCAGTTTTAGAATTGATTTTAAAATTTTATTGATTACTTTTAAAGCACTCAAGGGACTTGCTCTGAACTATATTTCAGAGCTTTTAATACCTTATGAGCCAACCCGCAGCCTCAGATCCTCTGGCGAAGGCCTCCTGGTCACCCCAAAGTCAAAGCTCAAAGCTAAAAATGTTAGAGCTTTCTTAATCAGAGCTCCTCGACTTTGGAACAACCTGCCAGAGGAGATAAGGCGTGCAGAGGCAGTCGCTTCTTTTATGTCAATCTTAAAACCTCACTTTCACAGACTTGCCTATATGTGATGCCATCTTTTAACTCTTTTCTCTATTACCTCTGTCTTATTTCCAATTTACTGTCTTTTTAGCTTTTTTATACTTATATATTTCATGTTTTTATTTTGGTCCTTATGGTATCATTTTATGTTGCAGGGTTCTTGTATTGTCTGGGTTCCTTATGAAAATGGCCTTCAATTCTTCTTTTAACTGAGCTTTTTGTTTTGATTTGTTTTTATTTCCATGTGCTGACATTCTGTGCTTTCTGACCATTTATTAAAGCACTTTGTAAACCTCTGTTTTTAAAAGTGCTATAAAAATAAAGTTATTACTGTTATTATTAATATTTCATTAGTAAAACTCCAGAATTTAGTCTTCTCAGATCCCAAACAATCCCATCCCATTTTTGTGGTAGTTTGAATGCAGTTGAGATTTATTAGGATTTTTGTATGCAGACTCTCAAAAGCCAAAAAGTTGAAGTGAATAATCCAACTATGATTTTTTTTTTTTTTTGCTTTTGCACTGAAGTTGTGACTCTTGCAAATGTTTTCAACCCTAAAACTAAGCTCTTATTATCTTTTGCTGACATATATTTAGCAATGGTCTGTTAACATCAATGTATATCTAAAGGTAAATGGAGTAAAATGGTGCATTTCTGATCTGAACCAGTAGATATATATATATCTATATTGATATATATTTACTGATATATATATATTGATATCTATTGATATAGCTATAGATATGTGTGTGTGTTTGTGTGTGTGTGTGAGAGAGAGAATTTCTGAGTAAAACTGTAAAATAGTAGATGACTGACAGAGTCATGAAGGTCTTGTTGTGTGCTTTGTAACTTCTTCGCCCTTTAATACATACATACATACATACATACATACATACATACATACATACATACATACATACATACATACATACATACATACATAAGTGAATAAATAAACATTTCTAAAGCAGTGTATACCATACAGTCAATGGTGTACACTGTACACAAAACAGAAAGAGGACTAATAGGACAGGCTTTCTTGCCTGTTTTAACGTTATGCAACCGTGCATCCCAACAACAACAGTGTGTTTGGAAAATGTTCTCCTCATACCAGTTTTAAAATAAGAGTAGCCTACTGGGATGTGTTTTTCATGAAACAGTCCACTATGTTCCAACATTTGAAATGTTTTCCCTGCATAATTTGAATTACATTCTGGGGTTGAATTATTATATTAAATTGAATTATTTTTTATCTGTGTCCCAATTTTTGTGTAATTGTAGTTGTACGTCATACAAGCATACAATAAAAGCTGTGGTTTGGCTTGACTTTCAAATTCCGCAAGACGTCTTATAACCTGTTTTAGCAATAAAGATCGAATATATTTGCATGTGTGACATGACCACAGTTCCTAGTAAGATACTATTCCCCTGGGTGACATATGGCCATAACTATGTGGACCCAAACAAGTAAGAGTATATGTAAACAATGAAGGACTTCAAACAGTTTAAACTTGGCATAGCAAATGTTTTCAAGATGAGTGAAAACATTTAAGTCATCTGTCAGAGCTACAGGATACACTAAATATGTTTTTTTGAATGACAAAGAATGTACCCAGAACAAAGAAACCTTCACAACTCATCTTTAACTAGAGAGGCACTCTGAGAGCGCAGCAGCTCATGTCCCCCCTTAAACAAGAAATGCCCTGACCGAGATTCGAACCCAGGACCTTCTGGTTGTGAGGCGACAGTGCTAACCACTACACCAATGTGCCGCCCATCTACACCACTCCAACGACACCCTTATTTTTGTGTGTTCTGGATCACAGTATCCAGAATTTTGTCCGAATCACCACCAAAATTTAATGGGATCCTCCTGGGGCTGAGACACACCTCTGGTGAAAATTTCAGGTCAATCCGTCTGTTACTTTCTCCGTAAAGTTGCTAACAGACAAACAAACAAACCAAGGCAACCGAAAACATAACCTCCTTGGCGGAGGTAATTATGAGGCAATCAGAAAATGTTTTACTCAATAAGCGTATGTATGATATTAAATCAGCTTTACCTCTGCCAAGACAAAGGGTCGCTCCTTCAGCAGACTCGTAACACTGAAGCGGCACAGTCCAGTGATGAGGAGGGAGTAGTGGGGTTTTGGCCAGTTACTGCCCACCACCTGCACTGCAATCCCTGCAGTACCAATTCTGCAAGAAGCCAGAGGGACAGACAGTGAGAGGAGGAGTACAGATAACTCACTGGTGAAACATTAGCCAAAGACGGCTCTGCTTCCACTGAGCACAGACTGTTTGAGTCTGAGCGTGATGGCAGCAGTGATCATAGACTTCATTTTGTTGTCAGCAAGCTTCAGTGTCATCTCATCTCAATAGAAACTAATAACTAATGATTAAGGACTTTTTAATTAGTGGATTTCAACAATAAATAAATGGATTTAAAAAAATGAAAGTAGAAATTCAGATGATTACCCTGAGGATTTTCTTGAATGACGCTTTCAAAATGAGCTTTGAATCTTAATCAAGACATTGCTTCTGCATCTTAAACGCCTTTAGCAGTCAACACTTCTTTGAAAACAGGCTTAATGCAGTTCTGTGATCACAACAGGATCATAATGGTGATGAGTGGTTGTTCAGACAAACTGTGTTATATGTGAGGTCTGGACGTTTTAATGAAGACAATAGAGTAGTGTGTGGTTTTTAAACTTGTTGACACCAACATTTAAGAAGTTTTGCAGAGCAAGCTCCACTGATTTCTCTACAGCTAAGAAGCTGTCAGCCAGGGAGCATTTTACAGTGAGCCAAAGTTTCATACAGCCAAAGAAGGTAGCTGTCAAAAGTTTTCATTGACAAGACTGATTCTAGCAACTCAAGGGTAAGTGCAGATTATAAATTTGAAGCTCTAAGAGCTGCCCCTGGCACTGTTGTCTTCTGCACTCACAGACGGAATATGTTTCTCATTACAGGCTCTCAATGCCTGGATTTATTGTGAAGCTGCAGCCACTCAGAGTGGATGACTGCAGTTGTGTGTGTGTTGATGGTGGTTGATTCAAGATGTTCCAAATCGAAGACACATGCAAGGCATTCAAGGAAGAGCGAATTGGATAACCAGAAGCAACATCCGTGCCACATTTCTGTGGTCTACCACAACAACAAGAGGGGAAGGGATTTCTTCTAATTTTCTTTTCTCTTTAAAAATTAATCTTCTGATTCCAGGAGCTTTAAATTCATCCAAAATCCAGCATGAAAGAGGCGGTGGAAGATCACAGTAGTATTTTAAAGATACAACGAGAGTGACTTACTGTCATGACAATGGAAAAACAGATTTCATGTTTATCATGTAGAGCTGTATCTTTGACAATCTCTGTCACATACAAACTCAGTTAGACAGACTGATTTCCAGCCCAATAGAGAAACAAACCACTGCTGTTTAGTAACCAGACTGACCTGTAGGTTAAAGGTAAAAGTCCACGTTACTGTGCTCTGCTCACATTCTCCACCTCTAGTAAACAGTAGATCTCTCTAGAACAAATAAGTGACTACAATTGTTTTTAAAAAATATAGACTGTGCATGACACACAAGTTCCAATTCAATTGTATGTGGCTTGAAATGTCAGCTAAAGTTGGCAGTCAATTTAATGCCATAGTGATGAAAATGTGTTCAGATAAGCATTAATTTTGTTGCAGTGGAATCAAGTTCAGCCTGAACTGTGTGTTATTTGCATTAAATGATCCTTGGTGTCTCCCACAATTGGACCAGGTGTTTCCAGTGCCTCTATGTCAGGGAAATGCAAGTGCAAACAAAGATATCCTAAGATTGGGTGACCATGTTGAAAATAGGTTGCTGTTCATAGTTAGTGTTTAAAACCATGCCTACATCACAAACAACCACAAAAAGAAATAACACACAAGCTATTTGCATGGATTAAAAGATTACTCAGAGGTAATGATTGAAACAGAGGTAACCACATAGCTTCTGATCAACATTTTACAAAGGCCACCTTAAACCCGTTCTACTACCTGCTACTTACCACTTTTAAAAATGTATTATTTCAAATGTGTTTTAAGGTTTTATAAATAAAGGAACTTGTGAGTATAATGATTTTTTTTTTATCATTTTTATACAGGTCCCGAGGCATTACCTAGTGACCTGTACAGTATATTAAGTCTATTGACAGCCTGGGAGGGGTCTACTACGTTTAGGACTCCCTGTTCCCAGATGTTTGGTTTCACTTCCAAAACAACAACAACAAACCCATCTCAAACGTAGGACCTTACTCCACTGCCTCCACTATTCTGAGCTATATTACTGCGTGTTTATTACTTGTGCAGCGTGGGGAGGTCGTCGGTGTCGTGCTCGGGGTCTCTGGTGTTGGGAATAACTCCAATGATTGTGCTTTTCAGTGAAGTCCCCTTCAGGAGCCGCTGGCTGACCAGCTGCATGTTCCGCGGAGAGTCCACGCTGAAACGGACCGTGGAGCCTGGGAGGAGCACCCCTTCATGGGTCAGCAGCAGCGGGAGGCGGCTCGGTACCTGAATACCAGCTTCAGAGGCCATTGTACGATACCTGCTGGAGCCAGGTAGCAATTTGACACAGAACTCTTTCAGATAGCTACGTCCTTCTGCAGCTCGACACAGAACACTTCCGGACAGCCTGTCAAAGTAAAAGCCTCAACAACGACCCTCACATCTTATCAACAACGAGCGTAAAAATTGTTTATCAACATGTCGAAACTCGATGTTCCTTCAAATCAAAATTGGATTATTGTGTCTCAGAAACCCTTCTAAAACTTTGTTTTTGTCTCTGAAATCACATATTAATTTTTATTTCGCCTGCTATTTTCTCAACTTCCTGTTTGCAGAATTAGCTACGGCAAGTACGGAGGGTCAAACTATGCACGGTTGCATAACGTTAAAACAGGCAAGAAAGCCTGTCCTATTAGTCCTCTTTCTGTTTTGTGTACAGTGTACACCATTGACTGTATGGTATACACTGCTTTAGAAATGTTTATTTATTCACTTATGTATGTATGTATGTATGTATGTATGTATGTATGTATTAAAGGGCGAAGAAGTTACAAAGCAACACAACAAGACCTTCATGACTCTGTCAGTCATCTACTATTTTACGGTTTTACTCAGAAATTCTCTCTCTCTCTCACACACACAAACACACACATATCTATAGCTATATCAATAGATATCAATATCAGTATATATATATATATATATCAATATATATATATATATATATCAGTAAATATATATCAATATATATATATCTACTGGTTCAGATCAGAAATGCACCATTTTACTCCATTTACCTTTAGATATACATTGATGTTAACAGACCATTGCTAAATATATGTCAGCAAAAGATAATAAGGGCTTAGTTTTAGGGTTGAAAACATTTGCAAGAGTCACAACTTCAGTGCAAAAGCAAAAAAACAAAAACAAATCATAGTTGGATTATTCACTTCAACTTTTTGGCTTTTGAGAGTCTGCATACAAAAATCCTAATAAATCTCAACTGCATTCAATCTACCACAAAAATGGCTAGAAAGAAGTAACTGAGTAAAGAAACAAAAGTACAGATTTGTACATTGAGGGAAGAAGGATACACAGAAAGAGAAATTGCAAAACGCCTAAAGGTGTTTAACAAAGGAGTCCACTACACTCTGAAGAGACTAAAGGGAAACCTGGAATTTATGATGACAGAAAAAGACTTGGACAAAAGAGAGTTACTACAAAATCAGAGGATAAACATATTATTGTCACCAGTAGGAGAGATCCGCAAAAGACAGCACCAAAAACAAGGAAGGAAATCAACATGACAAGATCGAAACCCATATCTCTGACAACTGTGAAATGACGTTTGAGAAAGGCTGGTCTGAAGGGTTGTGTATCTGCAAAAAAACACTACTTCGTCCACAGAACAAGAAAAAGAGTTATGAGTGGGCAAAAGCTCACAAAAATTGGACTTATGATGACTAGAAACAAGTTTGCACTGTTTGGTTCAAAACGCAGAGTCTATGTCCGCAGACACCCACAATTCAGCATGGAGGTGGTAGTTCCATGGTATGGGGATGTTTTGCAGGTGATAGAGTAGGAGATTTGTTTGAAGTAAAGGGTATCATGAAGAAGGAACAGTACCACTCCATCCTCCAGCACCATGCTGTTCCATCTGGACTCAGACTTGTGGCTCATAAGTTTGTTTTGCAGCAAGACAATGACCCTAAGCACTCTGCCAAGCTCTGTCAGGGTTACCTAGACAAAAAAGAAGAGGAAGGTGTTCTTCAAAAGATGGTTTGGCCCCCTCAGTCTCCAGACCTTTCTCCAATTGAGCTTGTGTGGGATGAATTGGATCGATCGGTCAGAAAAACGCGTCCCACGAATCAGCAGTCTCTTTTTAATGAACTTAAGAAAGCTTGGAATGCAATCCCTGGAACATACCTTAAAAAAAACTTGTGGAACAAATGCCTGGTATATGCCATGCTGTTGTTAAAGCCAGAGGAGGTTACTTTAAAGAAAGCAAAGTCTAAGCAACACTAACTCAAATACTCAAATAATTATAGTCAAAATGTCTTCTGATAAGTTACTCTTTACATAGCAGTCATGTTTATTGTGTTGCAAATTATATATATATATGAAACTATGATGTTTTTTTGTACAAATCTGATCTTGCTTCCAAACTTTTGGTCTGTAGTGTGTGTGTGTGTGTGTGTGTGTGTGTGTGTGTGTGTGTGTGTGTGTGTGTGTGTGTGTGTGTGTATACATATCTACATATGTAGATAGATAGATAGATAGATAGATAGATAGATAGATAGATAGATTTGCATACCTACAGTGTCTCATTTGTATTTTATCATTATGCCCAGACACACTGTAATCTTTGCAGTTTAAAAAATATCTATATTTTAATATTGACTGGACACTTGACACAAGGTTAGTTGATAAAATAGCAATTTAATTTTTTTCTTCCATAAAAGTAGTTCAGGTGGCATAATACATTTCAAAAATAAATAAATCTAATATCTTGTGTATAAAAAATCAGTTTCTTAAGTAGACAGAAGACAGCCGTCTATGTTTGCAGATATCATCTCTGTTGTTTGCAGGCAGGTGCAGGAAGTATCGCAATATGTATGCAAATAAAAAATATCTCGAGTACATCTTAAAATGTTCTTGTAGTTACAAAAATACAACCAAACAGTTTTAAATGACTGATTAACAAAAGTTTTTTACCACATTTGTAGCTTTACAGCCATAAACATCTTCCTTCTGTTTAATCATTAAAGAGTTTTTTTATGAGAACATATTATAAACATATAACCCCAGTCTCAGGCTCAACTCATTACAAATATTACAAAATTATTGAACATCAAGAAGAGTGAAAAAAGGCTCTTGAGGCTTGAACATGCACCATATGTAAACTGTAACACTCATTCATTCATTCATACAGCAAAGTTTGTGCAGTCTTGTGATTGTATCAGCTATATCACATAAATATATGAAACTCAGAAGTGACACCACACATTGTGAGGTTGGCGCTATTACATAAGATAAATATGGAAACTAGATTTGAGTCAAGGAACCACAATGAATGGAGTATACATTCCAACCCTGACAGTATTTTAGGGCATTCAGGTGATCTGTTGTACCCCTCAGCAGCCATGCCAGACTTCCTGAGCTCTTGACAACAAAGTTGTGAGTAGTTGACTGTATTTACCTGCCTTTCAATTCAGTCATCTCAACAGTACAAAGTAAACATCTCTACTCATGCCTCAGTTTCTGAGATAGTTGGAAAAGAAACATTTGTTTTAGATCATCATTGGATCTGGCCTGTAACCTTGGATCCAAGCCAAATGAATGTTGGTTGTATCGTTGTATTAGTTTACTTGTTAACTCTGGTATTGTTAGGGTTAAGCCTGTTTGGTTTGCACAGGAAAACTCTTTTTTTGAATTGATAACTTACTGTGCTCACAACTTTGACAAAGGATATCTGAAACATTAGACACATTCCAGGTATAGAAACAATTAAACCCTTTACATCTGTTAGGTTGTAGCCTTCAAGAAACAGCCTTGAAGACCAAGCTTGGATTGATGCAGGTGTTTGTGCAAATTGACTTTTTTTCACCAAGATTCCCACCACATTTCTGTAAGAACAAATTTATCTTGTGATTCATTTATCATAAGTTTAACTCAACTCAGGCATATTTGATGTCAAAGGGAAAAACTACTCTGTTCATTGTCTCCTACCTGGGAACCTACTGGCTGTAGGCCAAAGACAACAAAGCCACCAGAGAACAAGACTTTTTGAGGAGTTCTAGTGTGGGCAAGGACAAGGGATGAAGTGCTGGAAAAAAACCTTTGAGTTTCATGCATTGCCTTTGTTTGTATTCTTACAGGCAATTTGTGAAGCAAGATTGAGTGAGCATTGAAGAACAACCTTATTTGCTATGTGTTTACAAATATTTATAGACATATACATTGACTGGCTGTTAGATGAATACAGATAGGTTCTGGGGTGAAATTTTGGAGGACTGCTCTCCGCACAGTTGTTATCCCTCATCAAGCCAAAGCTGAAACAAAATATTAGTGGACAAGACAATACTCTCGTACTACAAAATGAAATAATAACACGTCTGATTCTGAGTGCTTGATCCCCTCCCCACAGATCATGCACTTTTGTTCAAACCTGTGAAGAGGGATGATTATGTCATATTACCCAACTCTTTTTTAATCAATGGTTGTGTTAAATACGCCATCGTCATTACTAAAAACCCATTCATTATAAATCCTTGATAAACAATGCCAAGAACAACCTGATCACATAGAGTATGTCACATGTATCACATATAAAAAAGAGTTAGGATACATTTCTTATTCTGACTTTAAGTTCACCTCTTACTGTTAACTGTGTGGCAAAATTGGTACTGACAAATAGCACCAGTAAACAATGTGGTGGAAATTTCTAATGTTACTCTCAATTTATTTGGGGAGCACACAATTTTTGATCTGTGGCTCATGGCTTATCAGTCACCAGCAGAGAAAAAAAGAAGGGAAGTGGCACATCTATGTCGTGTGGGCTCTGGCAGTGTAAGGGTATGTTGAGTTAAAAGAAAATGCATGTTCCCATAACATGTAGCTCCATACAGATTTGAATGCCTCTGCTGGACCCCGTGAGCAAGATTTCAGTCTTACGCAAAGTATGTTTACATATTAAAAGAAAATACAAAGCTCTGTCAGGTTTTTTTGTGGCAGTAACAAACTACTATACCATACCACTACTATCTATCTACTACTATCCTCAAGACAAGATCCAGTCATTTAATTTCAGTTCAGTGCTGAGTTAAAAAGCTTTTCCCAAGTTTACTCCACAGTCACATACCTAATGATTTAAACTGGTTAATCCATGGAAAATCTGTTGCATCTTTGTGTGCTTCTCATATGATTTTAATACGAATCATGTCGATATGCCTTCGCTCAAACCTTTTTCATTATCCTTCATAAGTTAAGCCATTAAACATGAGTCCAAAACCACAATGATTTCTAATTGCTTTCGGACCTCCACGAAACTTCACATGTTAACGCATTTTGTTCAGCAGTCTCTTGATAGCCTTCAGCAGAATTGCAAATGGAAACAACCTGACGGACAATCACATAAAAAACTTACTAAATATGATCCTGGTTGAAATTAGTTGGAGTTCAAAAAATCAACAGATTTGTTTTGAAAAAAGATATTCCAAATATGTAATCTCTGCAGCTGAGTTGAGTTAAAACTAAGGTTTCATTTTTCCAGCTTCAGCACAAGGATACTTGTATGTCTTGAAATTCTGTTATGGGAACCCAGCCCTGTTTGCCACATTTAAGCACTCTGACTAATTGTATTTTTCATTTTGCACATTTACTGGAAAGTTTCCTTGTAAATATTTTTCTTTAAAAGACTTGAAATTTGGAATTCACTTTAAGTCAGGGCTATGGATGAAGAGCATCAAAAGCTCTAAGCGTAGCGCTAAGAGGCACCTGAAATATTGATAGTCAATCTCTAAACTTTGCATAGATATTTCAGATATGAAAATATTCACTAGGCTTTTGAGAGTGAAGTAAAAAACAGAGCTATAAGAAGAAAAAGACATATTATTTTGAGGACAACTCTGACGTTCTGAGCATGATAGATATACAAAAAGAATATACAGAATGTGGAGACCTTCTGCATTTTAGGCACATAGTGGAGTTCTATAACCTAAGCCCCAGAAAATGTAGGATGCTGTGTGAACTGTTTGTTAAAAACTGATTTGGAACCTTATAGAGTATGGTGTCTTGAGCTAACACTAGTTGTGAGTTGGTGCTATATAAATAAAGAATGATTGATTAATTGATTGATGATTGAGATTCCATTAGACGTAGTGTAAAGACATCATAGCAGATTTAGAAACTGAAGCATTTCTTGATTAATGATGCAATAACAATTTAAAATCTGATGCCAGCAACACGTTAAAAAACAGTTGGTGCAGGGACAACAAAACTCTGAAAAAGTTATGTAATTAACAAAAAAAGGGGGAAAAAAGCCAAACATCTTTCTAATAATCTGGTAAATATGAAACAGGTTAGTGGCACAATCGTGTAAAAATGGCACTTCAGGGAGTTTGACGTAAGAAGAAGCTAACTGCTTTAAGAGAGACTACATGATACTTCAACAATTTCAGAGCAAAACTGAGACTTTGGGGGTTTCATCATCTTTTACATATCATTGAATCAAAAGACAGATAATCTGAAGAAAGAAAGGATGAAAACTAATACTTGCCACTATCGCTGGACCCTAGGGCAGTACTGCATTGAATCTGTAGTGGAAGCCACTGCATAGGCTGGAAATCAATTCTAATAACCATTGTCTGTATCAATAGTTTGTTGTTTCATCCATAAATGGAGATTAAAACTGTACCATGCAATGATAGAAACCATGGTTAAACATGATCCAGACACATGGGTGCATTCCCTTTGGGGCACATGAACTTTACATCCTCTGCTCTAGAGAAAAAAACAAGATCACACGGCTTGTTTTCATCGCACAGTTCAAAAGCTAGCATCCATAGTGGTATGTGAATACAAAAGTGCTCATGGCACTGGTTGCCTGAACATCTGGAAAAGAACTGTAAAGTCATCCAGACAATGCATTTTTCAGAGATGATCTCCCATTATTCAGCAAAACGATGCCAAACTACATTCTGCACGTATTACAACAGCATGACTCAGTTACAGAAGAGGCCACATGCTCAAGTGGTCTGGCTGCAGTCCCAATTTGTCACCTACTGAAAATATTTGGCACATCATGAAATGATGTGGTGAGATGATACACAACAGAGGCGATTTCAGCAGCTACTCTCTTACATCAGGTAAGAATGAGAATGAGATAACACTTCACCTTTAAAACCCCAGAAACTGACATCCTCAAAGTTCCCACAAGATTACAGTGTGTTGTTAAAGTAAGGGCGAATGAGCAAGAAAGTTAACATGTGTCTGCTCTGAACTTTTTAAAAGGTGTTGCTGGCATTAAATGTAAAATGAACACATAATTCACTTTTGTTTAAACTTTTTATACTGTATGTTGTCTTTGCACTATTTTCAATAAATAGGATTCAAAGGTCATCAAATTCAGTTTTCATTAACATAGTTCTCAATGTCCTAAGTGTCAGGGAAATTTTACAGGATTCATACGTTGTTAGATAGACTATACACAGAAATAACACATTAAATGCAGGCTGTAGGTACAAAATGCAAAGTCAACTAATAAAAGGAAAAGAAAAAAAAACAGTAGTTATCATTCAGCCTTTAGGTTTGAAGGTCAGTTCATGTACATTTCTCTTACTCTTCGTTGCAGTTTCAAAGAGCTGTTTGTGGAAGAGAAGTCAGGCTAAGATACAAAGACAGCTTAAGTTTCTCAGAATAACAAAGGTCCGATGTGCTGTCTCGCATTTCATCTTGTTGGTCTCTCAAGATTAACCGTTCGGGTCAACCAGGATAGTTCATAAGCTTTTGGACCAAAATTAAGCAGAGCTGCAGTGAAGTCCTCACTTCAAGTGAAGTTAACCCCACTGACCAGGAATAAGCAGTTTGTACGACACCCTCCTTCTTTTAGTTTCCACTTACACCCAGTTTCTTGATCCCACACCTGTACAGTCCAGACATGTGAACATGAACAAATCTCTTCCAAAACTTTGAACCCCGATTTCTCAGCATCCACCTGAATTACTTTTATGAACAATACTTTGGACATTTGGTTTAATGAGCTGGGGTGTGAAGAAGTTTATGTTCAAATGAATTCACAATAAATACTGCTTCTGTTTCTACTGTTTCAGTCTGTTTGGTCTGATGAAGCCAGGGTAGAGTTTGTATCTTTATCATATTGTCAGGACAGTTTGGGGAAGACATATCAATGCTTGAAAAAAAAAAAAAAAACTTTCTGGATTCAGTGTGGATTGTCCATTTACTCTTCTCCCATTAGCTCAGAAGAGGTAATGATACCAATCCCTTATCAGTATCAACAGAGACAACTTCACCCCACCAGCGTCCTCTCAGCTTTTGAGCTTGAGCCTCTTCTTCTTGCCTTTCCTTTGATGAGAAACATCACAGTCTGCAAAGAAGACAAAATAAGAAATTTCATCAGACATAAATCATCTTTCATTAGATATGATTCAAACTTAATAAACCCAAATAGTAAAACAACTTCATCCTCAGGTTTCACCTTTTGGCATAGGAAGTGGTTACATCTGTGCTGCTGTAACTGCACTGTACTGTGTTTGATGGGAGGCTGGAAACCACAGACTTGGACTACTTTAACATGGTGTGTGACTTATTTTTCTTAACCACACAAACACTGACGAAACAGCTGGGACTATACTTTATCACATAAACAATTATTTTCTCTTTCTATCTAAAAGCAGGCTCTATGTTTTGTCTTACAGGGTAAAGGTCCTTACACACCAGGCGCGAATTTGCCAGGCGAATTATTCGCGTTTCTTTAAAACAGTATAAAGTCAATGCAAGCTTCCACACCGGCGGCGATTTTTCCGCGGGGCGAAAAGCTTCTTTTATTTTTTCGCTCTTGTGTCGAATTTTCGGAGATTCGCAGGCAAATATCTGGACCTGCTAGACTTCTAGCCAATCAAAAGTCATGTTGTTGATGATGTCACAGACCCATGCGGCTGCAGTTCACGCGACACACACCACCACTGGCACCAAGAGCAACGATGGGAGAGAGTGTGTACCACAGAGTGGTCGCCCGGTGTGTATAGGCGAATATTTTCGCATTTTCGTCTCGCTTTTTCGCTTAGCTCCACAAATTCGCTGGTGTGTAAGGACCTTTAGACATGGAATAAAACTGTTTTGAAAGGAACTCTGCAGTTCAGATTATTTTTTTTTTATTCCTCATAAAGGTGCTTGAAAGACATAGTTCAGCAGATAGCACTATTATTTTTATTGTTATATTATTTTTATTTTTATTTATTTTTTGCTTGTTTTTCATGGGAAAACAAATAATGGACTGATATCAATCCAGTGTCTGTATGCTTAACCTAGGGCCATCACCAGCATGCAGGCTGGACTTTGCATAATAGACCCAGAACAGTCGTCAATGTGTCAGCGCCTTATTTTTCAAGCCAAAATCCAGTGTTGTATCATCCCTACAGCATTAAAATCACAATTTACTGTTTTATACACAGACTTTTGCATTCAATTATTATTATTGTCATCATAGTGTCCGAGTCTGAAGGAAGCCAGGCTAGCAAAGAAAAGACCAACAAATCAATATTTTTACGATCAATGTCAGTTACGACTACAAGAACTGTGATTAAATGTTATGATCAAGCCCGTCTGTTTTCATGTCATCTGTTGTGTTGTGGCTTAGTCTTCCTCTAACTATAATAATTTCCCCTGAAATGTTTGTCACTGTAATTTTTTCATTGTGAGTTCAATACTTCTGCCTTTATTTCACAAACAAGTCCTCACACAGGCTAATTCTATGTATTCCTCTTGTTGGATTGGCAGGGCCAGAGGTTGAGAACTAAAGAAAGCAGGAAGTTTTCATGACCATCTCCCAGGGCCCAACCTGGCTGAGTTTTTAATTGTGTCTCTCTGCACGGTTGATATAACAAAATACAATCTGGGGGAGACTGTGTGTATACAGTAACCTTAAGTAAATCAAGGTGAAATGTAACACAGGAGAAAAAATCTTATGACAGGGCAATACAATAAGGTGCTTGACTGGCAACTTCCCAAAAATCTGTCCATGATTTTTTTAACCCGCTTTGTCCAAAGTTTCATAAACATGTTCTTTCTGTACATGTGTATTGGTACATTTCTGCTGCAGTTTAAAGACACCTAACCAGACTTCACTTGATATTGACAGATTGGTGGTGTGTAGTTTCTTTTCCATAAACCACCCTTAAAGTTTTGAGATGATACTTTACTTGAAACATTTTGGTAAGTACCTATAAATAATATCAAAATGAGTTAAATCAAGGCTGTTTTATGTCTTATGTTCAAAGTGACTGTGCACTTGGAAGTATCTGAAAAAATCTGATTTTTTTAGACCTTGTTTTCCTTTGAAGTAGCCTACTTTCAAGTTGTTATGCCATCAGTGATCCACAGTCCAAATCCATAATTCGTTTTATTTGCTTGAACCCATAAGCACACCATCGGATTATTTGTATTTTCTCATTTAATTTATAATCCTCTTTAAATGTATTCCAGGTTTTTAACTGGACTTTCATCCAAGGATTTTGTATGGTATCTACTAGTTTATCTAGATCATTGTGAGCCAGTACAGAATGGATTGGAGGATTGATCATCATGAAAAGCTCAGTGTCTTTCCTCCTGGCTTTAAACACTGGGATACAGATGTTGGTTAAAGGTTTGATCTGAACTACATAATAGTCATCCTTCAAATGGAGCAGGCCCACTCTCCTTTTAAAGTTCTAAAGTTTTAATTTGAACTCGGGTTTGTTTCCTTGCTAAACATATCTGGAAATTACCTTGTTTTAACCATAGACTGTATATACTATGGACAACTTGGTTCCCCCTTCCATCATTATACGGATTTGAAGCCATAAAGCTCTCTGTATTCCTGGGTTTTTTCTCCACTTCCTGAAACCGCCACTTGTGCAGTAGCATTGTACACATTCAGGACTTGAGCACAAACCAGTCTTACAGTAACTACATGTCAACATCATAACAAGAGGGGAGAAAAATGTATATTCTGTGTAACAAATTTCTAAAGTTTGTCCACAGCTCCATAGGGATTGCTGGAGGAGGTGGGATTTAAGACCTATACTGCAGCCCGTCACCAGAGGGTGCTGTTCTCAGGGTGGCTTCACCCAGCGAGGAGGCAGACGCTGTCTATTCTATATACAGTCTGTGGTTTTAATCTAATTAAAACCACAGACTGACTTGACTTTCACAGAGTCAATTCAATGACTGAGACTGAGCAAAAAAATGAACTCCATCTGTAAATGTCATCTTGAATTTTGCTAGAGAAGGACTGTGATCAAGCTTGACGTATATGTAAAAACAGGATGCTCCTGAATTAGTTCTTTTGAAATTTATTATTTTCATGGTAACACGTTTATTAAGTTTTTTCTGCAATATAATGAGGAAATAATGTCTTTACAACCCTCATGTCTCTGCTGAGTTGGTGTCAGTTGGCTAGTTGACCGAATTTCTATCTTGCTTTGGTGTGAGCAGGTGCCTAGAGAGTTTTGTTATGGCACAGGTACGCTATATCTTGAGTCAAAAATGTACTTTACACCTTCATGACTCCTTTTCTCTGGCAGTTTCTAACAGTAAAATATCAAAGTTACTGTCCATGCACTGTGTTAGACAAGTGTGTGAATTACATAAAAAACAAACTCACAGTATAATGAAAATAAGCTGTTATGAAACAAAGAACAGAAAAGAAGAAGAGTGTGACTTATAACTTACAACTCAAGCAAGGGATTGGATATCATATTGGAACAATCACATTTCGCCCTATTTCCATAATTTCAACGCACTGAAACTATTTACCGATGCCTTCATGGAACACTTCATTAAAATGCCATCTTGGTATTTTCCATTGTTTTGCTTTGAAAAAATAAAGTGTGAGATTGTGTGTTTTGCAACGTTTTTGACAAGTGGGACTTCAAAAGTCAAAAACACTGTCCTCCGCCGTATAGGGCAAAACACCGAAAAAAGCTGTTTTGTATGTTGACTCTTAACCCCCTCTGTCAGATAACATGCCCTTGAGTAGACTTCTGAGAAGCAAATGTTCATGTTAATTATAACAATTTATAAGGGATGCAAAATGTTTGCTTCACTAAACTTTTCACCTCATATGGGGCAGATCAGGACGCTATTGTTTTAGTACAATTTATCCAAGATGAAGATGGAGAACAAATGGTGGGGGGGTCCTTTGACATCATGTCCTGCCAAGAAGAGTTTAGACCAATTGCTACCATCTTAAAGTCAGAAACCTGGTACAGAGTGTTTATTTGTACTGTCTCTTTAGTGTTTTAGTTTATACTAAGTTTATTGACTTGTACAGCCTCTGCTAATGACCTTTTTAAAGTTACAATTAATGCCTTTCTCTTTATGAGATAGGACAACACAGAGTCCAGCCCTGCAAAAAAGGACTATGGCTTTTATACATAAGGTGCTTATACCGCTGAGCCATTGGCTCCTTGCTGTTGACCCTCCCTCCACAAAAAAGAAGACAGTGTTTTAAATCAGAGCCTGTAATGTCACTGTAGGGTGAAACATGTCTCCTGCTGCCATACTCACAGTCCTGCTGTGCCTCTGTGCTGGCAAAGCACTCCCTGAATAGGCAGCGCATGGTATAACACAGATTGTCGAGGAGGGTTTTTGGAGAAGCGTATCTCCAGCTGGACGGTGGCACTCTCTCTGGCTCCTCTGTTAAACGATCCCAAGTGTCCTGGATGGTCTCTGGAAGCTCCTGCTGGAACACCTGCAGAGGCCAAAATACAACGAAGACAGAAACATATGTGTGAGTGAGAGGTGGACAAGTTGGCTAAATTTAAGTGATAAAATGTGATGTAGATGCATGAGGAGATTCACATCCAAAGATTCTGGGTAAGATAAATCAGCGGGAGCGTGATGCAGCATCGAAAACACACTCCCTCTAAATACTTCAACAGCACGAAAACTCACTTTCATCTTTCAATCACTGACACTTGAGACAAACATTGCAGGGGTTCAACAAGTTCAAGAAGTGAAATATCATTGAATAGTGAAATATCTTTGCATGTGTTTAGTACCACATAAATATTTCACTTAAAATTTTCATCAGAGTAAAAAAACAGGCATTGATCAAAACTGGCGTCAGACATGCCTGTGATGAGTCCAGTTACAGAAAACATTTAGACAGCTGGGTTTGAATATAACCAAATGATCCCAAAGTCCATGTTGGACCAGTAGTCAAGAGAGTGAAGGATTATCACTGCTGTCTCTGAGCCAACATGCTGCAGCACAGAGATAAATGAGGACTCATGTTCAGACTGACTGGACTGTGCAAAAATGATTGATTCTGCATAAAATATCAAATCAAACAGTGTACTTTAGCACTCATTTCAACAGGAAATCCCCAATATGCACCACACTGGGTGATTAATGAGAGGGCTAAATTTACTGTCACTTAACTTGGGTCCAAGCTGGAGGCTTTATTAGATTTTCTAATGTTCAGGAAATTTATTGAATCAATGTGGCATCTGTCTCATGCCATATGTCCTCTGACTCTGACAGTCTGACGCACTTTCTCTTCCTAACTGATTAGTTACGTTATAACAAATTTACGAGCCTTCTTTCTTACCTCAGCTGGATGGGCCTGTACAAAGACTCCCTCTAAATCTCTGAAGCGACTCTCCAGCCGTGCTGTGTACGGGCGCGAAGGATGTCTCTCTGGCAGGACTCGGATGATCTAAAATTGAATTAAATAAAGAGTTGAATTCATACATAATAAGGCTGAAGTTGCTTGGAATGGGACTTAGGAAAAGGTCTAATGAGATGTCTCTTCAGTTAAAGTTGAGTCAAGAAGATTATGTTTGCAATCAAAGTCATAACCATTCATTCCCTTTTTTTGCTGTCATTGTCTGGACTCTATGAGGGATTTTCCTGCCATTCCCTAGATCAGACATCCTTCTGAACTCAAAATCCCCCCACGGAGTCCATACGCCCAAGAATTTCGATCAAGATATCGGTGTCTGCTGCAGCAAATAACCTTTCATTCTTATATTTGTCTTCTCTGACTGAAATCTTTGGAACAGAAAATAGACACAATTTTTAAAATGTGAGTTTGTCAATGTAAAGATCTTTTGTAAAAATTGGTTAGTGATGATTGTATTCAGCCTGAAAATCACATGGAAAATCATAATAAAGCTTGCATGAAGAGTTTAAGCTGGTTATGGAAAAGAATGAAATTTATGTTATAATTTACAGAAGTCAGAGTTTAATTTTGTTTAATGTCAATAAACCAAACTCTGCATGCAAACCCAGAATACAACACACTGTAAGACATCTTCATCTCAAGTCTCTTTACTTAAGATGCTAGAAGGATTGTAACAGTGGCAGCGCATGGCCAAAGAGAAGTACAAGCCTAGAAAGGACTGTGTGTTTCTGTCAGCTCATCCTGCCAACTTCTTGACCTGTCAGACTTCTATCTGGTTGCCACATTTACACAAACACCCTTGTGGTCAACCGCGTGTGTGATTCACACTTATGAATGCTGATTAACATGTAGAATCATTTTCTGTATAACATGTGTGAGAAAGACGTGAGATGGCTCAATCCATGACTACTTTGATCAACAGCTCTGAAAACAAAAAAACGTGTTGACTTTTCACAGACAGGCCTGAGGCTGAGTCAGTCCATCATGAGCCGACAAACAAAGGCAAGGGATGATATGTACAACCCTCAATTTATTACACCCGCTAGGAACACTTGGTCCTTCCTGACAGATGTGGTTTTAATTGAACTGTTTTTACTCGTTGTGTGGTAGGCAACACTATCATTAAGCTGACTGACATCTTAAGCTTGCAGCTGAAAGAGAAAAAACAAAATGTTGACAAATCTCGGAAATTAAGACACTAGAAATTAATCTTCTGAGAGCAAGGGCTCATGTGTCTAAAGATATGTTTGACTGACATAATGCCTGAATAATGAGACAGATGATAATTTGCAGTTTCATAGTTCCAGTTTATCTTCGATGATGCTTTATTTAAAAGTCATGACACAGAAATGTTGTCCCATGGCTTCCGTCTGATGTTTTAAACCTTTATATAACGCATGCACCTGTCATTTCCCTCTATGACTCTTAATGTCTGTTACATTTATTGACACTGTGGGAGAGGCATGCTTAGAAAAAATCTCTAATAGTTTCCCTGCATGCCCCAACATTCCCAAGCCATCTTTCAGCTCCCTCTGTGATCATATGACACCAGGCTAACCACTGCTGAGCCTAAAAACTAAAGAAAATACACAAACATCTCTTTTCAAGTTTTGTCAGTTACACCAAAGATTTGCCATGAAAAACAGATGTTTTATATTACATGCTAGACATCTTAACTTCAAACTTAATAACAAGTGACTGCACGGGTTGGTTGACAACATGTGCAGACCATGTTGTTTCCTTAGAATTGTCAAATTGGTGCCAAAAATTGCTTGATACATGGAGAAGAGAAATGGATTCTACCCCTGTGTCTGACATTATGAAGAGACTGAGATACGACAACATAGCAGGCAAGTATATAAAAAAAAACAAAAAAACAGGTGGTGCACTGATTGATTCACAAATGTTTGGATGGAGCAGAGAAAAAGCAAAATAGCTCAAACTGACGGATAAAAGGAATAAGAGTCAGACAGCAATTCTCTCAGAGTTGTTAATAATAATAATGCATCAGATTTTATATACCGTTTTATCAGAGACCCTCAAAGCGCTTTACATTAGATACATCACTCATTCGCTCACACAGTCACACCCTGGTGGTGGTAAACTACTTTCGTAGTCACAATTGCCCTGGGGCCAGTTTGCGCCTACTGCCCCCCCAACCACCACCACACAACACTCACAATCATACACCAGTGGAGGACACACACTGGGAGCAAGGTGGATGAAGTGTCTCGCCCAAGGACACAACGGACAGACTCGGGATAGAGGGGAATCAAAACCGCCAACCTTCCCGTTAATGAATGACTGCTCTACCTCCTGAGCTACTGTCGCCCAAATACTGTAGTCTCACCTTTTTTAACACTCCTTGGTTAACCTGGAACCACAGCCTCTGGAGAACCAGCTCATCCAGACCCTCCACAAGTAACCTCTGTTTGATGTAAGAGTGAAAAGAAGATACATGTTAGATGATAAATTATGATAAATAAATATAAATAAATAAATAAATTATGATTAATTAAAGTTTGACCGATTAACATTGATATTAAATTACTGCTTCAGTAAATCGCTTAAGTAAATTTCAAATAGACTGTTCTTGTGAAGCACTTTCTCTCGTCCTCTAACCCTTAAAAGCACTTTCATTACATGTCACAATTATTCATTGACTCCACATTCATACACTGATGGCAGAGGCTGCTGTGTTTGTACCATCAATATCAGCTAATCCTTTTTTTTTTTTTTTGACTCTGAACTCCCACTCCGAGTCTTGTTAATGGACATTTTAGCTTATGGATGGCAGGGATTTGGGCACCCAATCCTTTGACTGTGACACTATCTACTCTTCCACTGAGCCACAGCCACCCCTGACCCCAATAATTACCTCTGATTCATACCGAAAAGGGGGAAAAAAAAACACTCATTCCTTGATTAATATATGTGTTTCTTTAAGATAAAACTACTAGTTTGAGGAGCATCCTAACAGTGACAGCAGGGGAACCAGGAGGTCCTCTAACAACTAAGTAATAGGATCATTACTTCTTAAAGTTTAAAATAGCTTAAACAAGGTTAATCCATAGGCTCCTGAAAACACTAACAGATATGTAATAATAAGAGTTCTGTTTTGGGGTATTGTCTGACATTTCTAACAGAAACATGGTGCTGAAGTTGAGGGCTGCCAGATGAGCTGCTGCAGACACGCTGGTTCACTTTTTTGATCGACATACGATCCAGACTTTGAGGAAAGTGATATGACTTGAATTAGGAAGAATAGAATCCATCCGAAGACTAGCTTTCATGAAAAATCGTACAGTAAATTCACAAACTTTTGTCATGCTTGTCACTTTGATGAAAGGTTTGTTCTGTCTGAGATCATCTTATATCAAAAACAGTCAAACCAACAGCCCAAGAACAAAAGCATGTGTACATGTGCTGAGAATTTTTACCATTTTGCTGATGCTGGACACTTTAAAGATTTCATTATGATGAACTTTGATGGTGTAGTTGATGGGAAAGTTGTGTTTCTGTAACACAAAGAAAGAAAAGATATCAAACATGTATCATCGAGGAAGGTGTGACACTGTTTCAAGTGAGAAATTGGTCGTAAGTATTGACTGTAATGTAAGGTTGTGAAAATGATGAAATGTACTAGAAAAGTGTAACAAAATTTAACAACATTCAAAAATAGCACTCAACAGTGTACACACTTCATCAGAATCAATCAATCAATCAATCAATCAATCTTTATCTATGTAGTGCCAGTTCACAACAAGTGTTATCACTGGACAGTAAACAAAAAGAGCTGGTCTAGGCCATACTCTTCTTACAAAGACCTAATGTAAAGACAGAATAAGATTGTAAGATCAGACACAGTTCTCATTGATGGTCATTTTAGAGTCCTAAAGGCATATCAATAAAACAACAAACAACTTCTCACAGGACCTTTCAGAAAAAAGACCTTATTCTTTTCTTTAAAACAGAGTCATTCATTCGTCATTGAGTATGTTTTTGTCTTGCTAATTTCTTAACTGGTCAGTCATGGTCTGCTGCTGGCTCATAAAGCTTTTTATATTAGTCATATTCTGCGCTGTGCTTAATTCACAGATAGTGAGATGAGTTAGTTAACTTTGACAGCAACCGCTCTCTAATATGGGCTACACATTAGCATCTTCTGAGCAACAACTGTCTGTTTGAAGTAAAATTACTTCCATGTAAGTGAGGATGTCCCACAGCTAACAATGTGCTCTTAAAACAGTGTTTCTGGGGCTGGTGGTGTTTGTGTTTTGCATCCTGGCAATGTTTTTCACTCATTTTAAACTTCAGCTACGCAGGCTGCTATACTATCTCCACTATCTACAAACACTGCATGTGTTCTTCAAGCAAATGTTTAGTATACACCATGTTTTTGATTGATTTTAGCAAAATGTCCTACTTGATAATGTCATTTTTTACTTTATTAAAATGAGAATTAAAACATTTTCTTCACTCGGTATGCAAGTCGCACACACGGTTGCTAGCATGCTGCTTCTCTCTTACCATGTAGCGCCGCCTTTGGCTAAGGCTATCATTGAGTGTCTTCAGCGGGGTGCACATGCTGGCGGGTGTCTGGGCCATCTGAACAGGTACCAACAGAAACAGGCCTACAAGGAAAGAAACACAAAGCTGCACAGTCATTTTTCACAAGCTTTCACTTTACTTGGTATGGGTTTTATGTTCACTCTGGCTACAAAAAAAAAATGTGATGGATCAAGCATCCAGATCAGCAATATATTTATGTAAATGATATATGCATGTTTCTTTCTATATCCTTTAAAACTTGGCGGTACATCTGTTGGATTCATAATGGCTTTGAGTTATAGTGACGTTGCTGTGCCAGAGAATATCCAGAGAATTTTCTCCATGAAAATTGTTTTTGACTCAACAAAGATCCACCTTTTTTTTAATATTCAGGATGAACATGTTTCCCAACAGGAAAGCTGCTTCTTGTCATTTTAAAAAAGTTTTACCAATATGGGAAACCTTAAGGGGTGAAACTTAGTATGAGGAAGAGATGTTTATTTGTTGATGCAAATAAAACCTCTAAAAACAGTTGGGTTATACATGCAGACAGATTTGATTTAATGACAACTTCTTTGAGTTATCAATTCTATTTTATACAGTCAAGATGTACTCAGAAAGTCCTTACAAGGAAAAGACAGTCTTAAGTCCACAACCCCGTGAGAGACCTTAAACTTGAAAATGTCCCAGTGTGGCTGTGAGCATGTGCACAGTTCATTCAGCATCGAATTTTGGCTTCCAGCCTGACATATATGGTCGTCTAAAGGACATCTCTAAATGTAGGACCTTCGCTTGCCTCATGTTGGACAGAGAAAGCTATATGAATGTAATACTAAGATATAAAGTATAATATATGTCTAGGATATAAAAATCACTCCAAATCCGAAAGGCTGAGGGAATTTAGAGGAGAAAGCATTTACTGTGGACAAAGAGGACACCTTTGTGAACCACTGCAAGACTGAGAGGAGATACTTAGGACTTGATAACAACAATATTACAGAGCCTCTCTAAATCAGAGCTTGATTACTGCATCTCTCACCAACAACAGTTCCTGACAGTACTGACACAGCTGTTTTACCAGTGTCCTTAATATCAAGGTTTAATGAGGAAACTAGAGAAGGTGAATGGAATTGAGTCTCCAATAAAGGTTTCATCTCTCACTGTCTTTACTGAACTTTTCAATTTTCTGGATCACCTCTGAAGGACTTGACAGCCCGGCTTTAGTCAAATCAATCAATCAAATTTTATTTATATAGCGCCAATTCACAACAGTCGTCATCTCAAGATGCTTTTCAAAGAACAAGAGCAGGTCTAGACCACGCTCATAGTTTGATGATCAAGAACCAACCTAAGATGGGTTTTGGTCCATCTCATCAAACATGAGTAGCAGTGGCAAGGAAAAACTTCCTTTTAACAGGCAGAAACCTTGGGCAGGACCAACCTCATGTTAGACAGCCACCATGCCGCTGCTGGGTTGGGGAGGAATGTAGAGCGATGGAGGGAGAGAGTCCTGGTTCTCTGACTGGTGCTATCATTCCTGTAAAGCTGCATTTAAAGTCCTGATAAAAGCATGCACGAAATGTCCTTGAAATCCAATCAAGAGTTGTCAAAACATTTTAGATTGAACCCCAAATGTAACCTACATGCAGGTGATGGTATATTAAGTTCAGCAGTCTTTGAAAACAACCACAATCATCAGTTAAAAGCATTGTGCAAACTGAACAAGCTGAAACACTTACTGAACAAGTGAAGTTTTGGTTCTGATTATACAATATGATCTAACAGTTGGTTCAGTCTGGATCAAAGTGGACCAGACAATAAATGTTCAGATATAATTTCTTCCTTAAGGCAGATAAAATGAAACTCAGATAAAACTTGAAGAACACCCTGTTCCCTCTGAGGCTGACAAAAACATGTTTTATTTGCCAAAGATGCTGAGTCATGATAAACAGCCTGTGACCTTGCCGGTCTTTACATTATATACTTCACAGGAAGCAGTCTGTCTTTCTTAACATCAAATGGCCAGTTTTTCCTGTTTGAAAGTTTTTACATATTAACTTTGTCATGAGCTGTCATGACTATCTCAACAATGTCAACCAATCGTTATCATGATTATTATCATCATGTTTCAGTCAGAGTCCATCCTGAATTGTTCATACAACCCCTTCAGATATCCACAACAGCTGCCTTCATAAGCACTGGCATCTACTGCATTACTCATAGCTTAAGCCATGCTGGATGCTAGTTGTTTGCTGTCAATTCAACTTTGGCTGCTGTTAGGCACACAGCTCAGCAGGCATTGATTCCTCTCAGATCCTCCCAGAACGTGTGATTGTTCACAGTCTTAAGAGTGAACTGGAGTTGCAAACTGAGTGGTTCAGTTCACCATTCACCAAAACATGAGTGCATGACTGAATGAACCCTCTTAGAAACTCATCCAAGTCAAGGCCTAGCGAACCAGCACTGTCTCAAACATGAAGAAAGGGTGTCTCTTGAGATTAGGTGGCTTTTTACAAACTAACAAAGATATAATCACCATAAGTGGTTTCTCTTACTCCTCAGCAAAAGTCATTGAGTTGCACCAAGGATGGATTTGTTTGCGTGCTAATTTATTCTGACACTGAGTTGGTAAAATGTACACTCTCAGAGTCAATCAGGACCAAAAAAGGCTAGATCCCTGAAAATCCCAGACAGTGGTCCCTTATAAAGAGTTTAGAACTGTAGGTCAACAAGTTTTTCTTCAATGGAGGAGAGATGCATTCATAAAATGAGTCAGACGGAGTAAAGTTACTGACAGCCTCCTTAATCAAGGGTAATTGAAGATACATCATGAGATGCAACTGGGACACATCATCAGTGATGTTCCTGAGTTCATCGGACGTTTCGGGTCTTTCAACATCATACGTCCTCCCTCAGGTGACCCAGCCTAGGGTTGATCAGACCCTGGCTTGTGTCCCAGTAGCAATGGCCCACAGTTCGCTCCTTCTGATCCACAGCCACCTGGAGGCTCTCTCTGCCGCCTCCATGTTGGACTTGATGGCTGACCTTTTTGCAGCCCCGGTGATGCCAAGTAGCGAATAAACCTTGCACAATGAGCGGCCAGCAAAGCCCCTGCACCCCACTTCAATGGGTTCACACTGTGCCTTCCACCCTCCTCTTTGGCATTGCTCGACCAGCTCCTGGTACTTTGACCGCTTCCGCTCGTTTGCCTCCTCTATGCGATCCTCCCAGGGAACTGTCAGCTCTAACAGGAGCACCTGCCTTGAAGAGACTGATGATAGCACGATGTCTGGCCTCAGGGAAGTTGTTGTGATCTGGTCTGGAAACTTGAGCTGCTTGCCAAGGTCAACTCTGAGATCCCAGTCCACCGCTAAGGTGAGGAGGCCAGCTGCTGGTTTGGGCTGTGACTGTGGCTGCTCTCCAGCCCTGACAAAGGCGATGTTCCTGTTGCCAGGTTGTTGCTTGCGGCTGTTGTTTTTGGCCACGGCTTTGGAGATAGTTACAGCAACAGACTTCAGCACCTGGTCGTGCCGCCAGCGGTAACGACCCTCCCCAAGGGCTATCGAACAGCTGCTTAGGATGTGCTCCAGAGAGCCTTTCCTGGAGCACAGGGCAAAGGCTGGAGAGTAAAATCTTCCTTAAAAAAAGGAAATCTCATTCAAGAGTTTGACTGGTGGAGTGAAGAAACTGTATTTCTCAGACTTGGAGCAGTAACTACATCCCAGAGCAATAATCATAATAACATGGTAGCTATTTCCCTATAAGTTCAAATACAGTTGCTAAGTTTTATTGCTGTGTTCCTTGTTTTCAGCTGAAAAAGACAAAAGTCTAGAGGGATTATTAAGGCATTTTTTTCTGTTTGGCTATAACAAGGCTGATGAGACCTTTGGCTGCTGTCTAAGTCAACAACTGTATTCAAACCATAGACTGTATATAAAATGGATGCCATCTTCCTCCTCGCTGGGTGAAGCCACGCTGAGAACAGCACCCTCTGGTGACGGGCTGCAGTATAGGTCACAAATCCGCCTCCTCCAGCAATCCCCATGGAGTTGTGGACAAACTTCAGAAATTAATTACAGAGAATATAAATTTTTCTCCCCCCTGGTTGTGATGTTGACATGTAGTTACTGTAAGACTGGTTTGTGCTCAAGTCCTCTTTTTTCTGTACAGCTCAATTTTTAAAAGTTATTAGGGGGCTCATGTTTTCTATGATTGACACTTGATACAGCCTATGGGCGTACAAAGATTGCGTAGGTATACGCTGTTTGAACTGAGCATCATAGCGACTCCCCCCATATGCGTACAATGCTACTGCGCAAGTGGTGGTTCCAGGAAGTGGAGAAAATCCTGGAAGTACCGAGTGCAATTTGGCTTCAATTCAATGACAGGAAGCGAGACAAGGTTGTCTATAGTATATATAGTCTATCATTTAACCACTTTCTTTTAAACAATATAATTTGATATTACCTTAGCATGCATCAGAAGAGGCCTGTATTAAAGCAAACAGCACTGTTGGCTAATGTAGTCTTTGCTAATTTGTGGCAGCTAGCTTGTTTACAGCAAAAAATGTTTGAATGCTAACAGTTGCTAAAGGTTAGTAGCCAATGAGTTAGAAAATGTTTATGCCTCTAAAAACAGTCATGTTAGCATATCTCACCATCTTTGAACCCAAATTATTCAAACAGAGACTTTTTCTTTCATCTCATATCTTGGTATCTGGTCTTATCTCATCTCTCTCCTCACCAAAGAGAGCAACAAAGACCCAAAGAAAGACACTCAGCATGAGGTGAGAAATCTACAGGCTTTGTCTGTAATGTGACTCAGGCTCTTTACCGGCATGCTGTTTGAAAGAGAAACGGCTCTGAAGGGGAGAAAGATGGTAACCCCTTAAAAAAAGACATAATATAAGGTTTTTGTTAAAAATATAAAATTCAGGTGAAAAAGCATTATTTTACACTAAGATATGCACGAAGACTCCAGAACATTGAGAATATTAAGAATATGATAGTTCATCTTGTATTTTACAGCAGGTCTGACTCTGACTCTTCTCATGCACATGTGACTTCTGATCATAACTGATTTGGACAAGCAGACAGCGTGCTTATTTACTCAATGAGCTTGCATTGTTTCAGAACAATGTTGCATGAATTACTTTCAATCAGAGGTGGAGGAAACCACTCTGACTGCACTGTAGCTATCACTCTCTCTAAACTACAGACACATGGGTACATACAGTCTGCAGGACCCAGAGGACACAGGTTTGTGAATGGGTGAAAGTGATGAGTAATAAGTGTACAGGTGCTATAAGTGGCCAGAAAGAATAGAAAAGTCCTACCTAGTTCCCATTTTACGATGTTTCTAAGGTCAATTTCTTATGCCAGGGCATAAAAGTTTCAAGTTGACATAAACCAAACCAAACTTCTGACAACCACTCTACAAAAAGGTAGCTTCCTTTTCTGTCCAAAACATGAACAACTGTATCGCAATTTCTATTAAAAGAAACATTTCACCACACATATGTATTTGACTGAACTTTATAAACACGTGTGTATGTGTGTCTGAAATCAGACTGAATCTCTTCACAGGTATTGAGGTGAAAGTGCTGCTGCACCATCTGGAAGTCTTTGTGTGCAAAGAGGACACTGGAAACACTCATCGCTTTAAGATGAAACATATGGGAGCAACACATGGAGGAACATCCAATCCGTTAACTTGAGTATACCCAGCTGTACTCAGCTGTTCATTCTCTCTCGCCTTCCCTTATCTTGTTCTCTCTCCCTCTCCCCTCTCCCCTCTTCACTCTACATTCCTCCCCAACCCAGCAACTGCATGGTGGCTGTCTAACATGAGGCTGGTCCTGCCCAAGGTTTCTGCCTGTTAAAAGGAAGTTTTTCCTTGCCACTGTTACTCATGTTAGTTGAGATGGGCCAAAACCCATCTTAGGTTGGTTCTTGATCATCAAACAATGAGCGTGGTCTAGACCTGCTCTTGTTCCTTGAAAAGCGTCTTGAGATGATGACTGTTGTGAATTGGCGCTATATAAATAAAATTTGATTGATTCATTGATTGATTGATTGATTGATTGATTGAGCTGTTTGATAAGCGGAGGATTCAGGCATCTAAAAACGCATTCAAGTCTGTTAAACCTTTAAAAAGTCATCCGAAATTGCTGGTATACTGAAAGGATTCAACTGCCTGTTCTTTAAGTTGTGAAGCAAAATGACTTGGCACATATCTTAGTAGTCTGATAATTTTGCCTTAAACTAGCCTGCTTTCATATATGAGTTTGTGAAGGCCGTCAAACTGTCTGAAAGCAACCCTTGCATATTTTAAGGCAAAGATCTGGGGCTGAAATGCTTAACATGATGCACTTACGTCTGAGAGCCTGTCAAACATCATAATACAGCATACAGATGGAAACGAGCCAATAGGGCTGGGCAATAAAGCGATGGCGATAAATATTGAAAATTAATTTCCCTTGATATCAATATAAAACATGGTCGATATGCTTTTCGGTAGTCACTATTGTGCTATGCTTTGGTGGATGATACGAATAGCCAATGGAACGGGGAGTTGCTCTGGGTCCGCTTTGCGCTGAAGCAATCATGTGCTGAATTAGAACCAAGTAGCAAACAACAGTAATAGTAGGCTGCAGCTAAACACAAACATAGCACTTCAACACGTGAAGCCGACAGCACTGTTGGTAAGAAAAAAAGGAAATGAGTGCTATGCAAAAGGTTACAAACCCCGAGCGAAACAAGAAGCCCATGGCTCCTGTGCAGCCGAAACAGCCGACCATTCAGTTTTTTTTTTCTCTGGCGCAACGTCTTACAACAAAACGTTGAAGAGACACAAAGACCTCACAGATGCAGTAACTTCTCGTATGGCAAAAGACATGCTCCCAATACGCACTGTTAAATTTCATTACATTTACATTTTACATTATACATTATATTTTATATCTATTATATTTATCAATATCGAACTGATTTGCTGATTTTGATATTGTATTTCTACTTGAATTGAAGTACCAATTATTCTGGCTAAACACCAATGAGCAAATAACTGATTGGTTGATGATTGGTTCAGAGAGGATGTTTTTCTTCTTCTCTTCTGCCTTGTGTTATGTATATGAACTGATTCCAGCACACACACACACACACACACACACACACACACAAAATGCTGAGACAAAATTTCTCGATACCTCTCGAAATAGAAGCCAGATCACGTCTGAGCTTAAATTCGTGTCTCCTATGGATTTCGCATTCATATGAATAAACCATTCAGAAAGTGTTTCAGTCTGTTGGATGAGAATGCACAACTTCAATGGTCAAGCAGGTTTTTGCTAGTTCTTGCAACAGTGCATAAGGAGTAAGAGGTAGCGTGCAGGTAATGACCTCAATTACGTGTAATTATCACCAAAAGCTAACTAATGAACCGTTTGCAGCACTTTGGAACTTGTTTAGCTTGTTCTCAGGACTACAATAACTTAAATGCAGCTGTTACCATGGAAATCCACAAAGGCATGTAAAGAGCAGCCCTGTTTCTTGATGGCATGCGACCATGACAGTGTGAAGGAGTATTCTACCAATGCAGATAGTCAAAGCTGAGCTAACTTGAAAAGCCTCACATAAATCAGCATCGACATTCATTCACTTACAGCTTAAACTTCTCTCATACAACTCTGCCACTCTGTCCCTACAATTTACCCAGAGCTGCTTGTTCACACATGTCGCTCCCAGCGTGAGATCGACCCTGTTGAAGGAGGGGGTTTGTGGGCTGTCAGAGGAGGCATGACATGACATCAAAAGCATGCTGTGGAAGCCACAGTGTAATGTTCACAACATGATGGAGGACAAAGCAACAGAGGCCTGGGCTGTGACAGCTTTTACTTTTAGATTTAGGGAAAGAGTTAGGGGGCTCATTTCTCTCTCTCTCTTTTTTTATTGTTTTAAGTACTGCATTGTTGACTCTTTCTGTTTTACTGTCACCAATGTGAATTTACCCAATTCATCCATTTTATCTCTTACCACAGGATGATAGTCCAGTGTTTTCCAATAAAACAACAGAAATACACATCTTTTTGACATAAACATGCTCATATTTTTCAGCAAAAAGCTCATTGTTGAATGAAGTTAGTTTGATCTTAACTCAAGATACCACATCTTATCTTTTCTTAACTGATTCCAAGTTATCTGAGGTTTGGGTATTGGTCCTACAAGGAAAGAGCTTGGGATGCTTTCCTCTGAAGACAAAAAAAGGGCAGCTCATCCACGCCTCAGGCCTGGTTCAAAGATAGGATGATGACTGTCTGTGGTAAAAGAGTTGACAGAATTCAGAGGAACAGTCCAGCTTGAGGGGAAGCAGAAGACAGAATGATATCTTCAATGAAAACCTCATTCAGAGAGTTCAAGACCTTAGACTGGGCCAAAGGTTGCAGCTACCGCAACCCAACAGGACAATAACCCTCAGCACACATCTGAGATGAAGCAGAAATTCTTGACAGACTCTGTGTAGGTCTCTGAGAGGCTGACTAAGAGCTCTGTCTAAAACCAGATCAAGAATCTCTGGAGAAACCTGAAATTGGCTGTCCACCAAAGGTCAACATCAAACTTTACAGGGTTTTACAGCTTCTGTGGAGGAGGAATTCAAACAGTCCAGATCTACGGATAAATCCAGATCTACTTGTATCGTACCCAAAACTGCTAAGGATTATGTTACCTTGAAGCAAAGCCAGGTTTCAGATTTTTTTGTTACACAGAAATAAGCAAACATTTATCAAATCCTGCTTTTCATTTCAGGGATTTAGATTTATATGAGGGTTTCAACATTATGTGAAAAAACTAAAAAGGTTCTGAATACTTCTGATTGTAATTACAGTCTATAGGATCTGTTGATGCTGCCAAATTTCCAGCATTCATGACTAACTAACTGGAAGATATCCCAAGAACAAACATGGACACTTTTGTACAGTACATGGTCTGTGAATAGCCTTATCCACCAATCAGCTGGCAGCACTTACAGGAGGAAAAACTACTCAGTGTTATTCCTGACCGTCTTGTTTGCTTGCTTAGGTAATGGAAGATTAAGTATTAACTTCAGTCAATTTGAAAAACAGCTACAAACTCCTCACATTTACTTTCAAGTGATCCATCTCCCTTCAAAGCTGCATTGCATGTTCACTTAAATCACTTTCCAACTTAAATTAGTAAACTTAAATTACTTTTATGGGATTGTGACCCATCAAAGAGATTTTATGTGTCTTACCAAGAGGATTTTAAATTTCTTGGCAGTCAGATTTAACTTGTGATGGGATCTTACTTTCCCACTCAAGATGGGAATTGATACAGAGGCTAAACCAGCTGTTTGAGATCTCTAAAAACACAATGACTCCATCCCACTTCAGAGTCGGCACCAACAAAGGATGCATTTCTGGAGTGGTTGCCTCCCAGCAGTGCACCAAAGGCTGTCACATTTTGAATGCTCTGTCAAACGCAATTGGGTCAGTCCTGCTTTTCCCAGTCCCTAAAGGGTCCATCTAAGGCATTTTCATGACCTGACTGAGGAGGAGTCTTGTACACATGTGCATGCTGCAGAAAGGAGCAGTTTGGTTGACGCCACCAGCAACACCAATAAGATTTTTTAACCTTTGACTATGAAGCCTGTGAGAGCAGTGTCAAAGATTATCAGTGATATACAGTATATGAACTTCAAGAAAGTATCTTGACATCATGACATTATCAGCCTCAGTGTCTTCACTTAAAATCGTTGACATTGTTAACTAGGCAACAAAATGATTTTTGGTCAAACTGTCTGTTTATTTTTTAAACACTTTTGAGATTCAGATATGCTGCACAACTGGATTCTTTTGCTGTATGAAGTAGGATAGATTTTTCCATCTAAATTTATAGTTAATGGCTTTAACGACTAAATTTACACTTAACCGTAGTCTCCAATGTACTGCTATATTACTTTATCTAAACTGCATCCAGATATTCCACCTCTATAACAAGTCTAATTAATCATTTTATAAAGCACAGCTGCTCTAATATCAGTATTTGTATATGCAGAAATATGCCTCTGATCCACTACCATGACCATTACGTTCCCAATATGTGCTTTTCTAACATGTTATACAACAACAGGGTGATACTTGCGCAGTGTTATGTTAATAAAAGTAAGCTTGTAAAACATCCGCACTATGTCTAAGGAAAAAATGAGTTTACGTTATGACATAAAAATAAAGGTAAAAAAATGCCAAGCACAGTTGAATTTTTCGCCCCGACAACAATGACCCAACGTTTGATACACTCCAGCCCTTTCACAAAAAGTGAGATTTTTCTTACAAATGAAGTGTGAAGGAGCTCAACATGCCTCAACCCTGAAGGTGCCTGGGTTGTATCACTGTCATTAGGTAATATGAATATCTCCTTTTATACAGTATTGTATTTACTACAAGGACATCTGGAAAAAACACAAAGCAGATGTCCCACCGCGATGGTAGTAAAGTGACTGATTCCTAACTGTATGAAATCAATCTTTGTACTTGGATTGAATTACAGTGTCTGCATATTTTCTCAGAGTGAGCAGGATCCTGATTCAAAGTCATTTGATATGATGTTTCTCTATGTCGTCCCTGGTATTAAGAAAAAGAAGAAGTAGAAGAAGAAGAAGAAGAACTTTATTGATCCCCGAAGGGAAATTCAATTGTCTGTTGTCTCACGTAATATGTCTCTAAAAGTTATCTATTATTTACATAAGAGTTATAAAGCCGGATGGCTGTTGGTACAAAAGATCTTCTAAATCTTTCTGTCCTGCAGCGAAGAGAGAGGAGCCGTCCACCACCATTTGCCCTTTAGTCCATCAAGGTGTTGTGAAGTGGGTGATCCATGTTCATATTAAGTTTGTCACTGAGAATTAATCTGTGATGATATCCAGTTTTGAGAAATAAGCAAAAAAAAATATCTTACATGGTCTGTTGAGAGGCCTTTTACTCCTGGAATACTCACAAAAACGTTAACTGTAGTTTTTATATTTACATACGGTCTACATAAATAATGGTGTTAAGAAACCAGTTTCAATGAGGATAACCTCTTGTAGGGGAAGACAGAACCTTTGTTTAAGGAAGCTGCTCAACTCAGACCCTGCTGACCTCTGGGTAATCCACTGTTTAGTTCTCTTGCATCCTTTTAATGCTGTTAAAAAAATAAAATAAATAAATGACTTTCCTTAGAATAGTTACATGATTGGCATGGTGTGGCTCAGTATCACAGTACAATGGTGGTGTAACAGTTGAGTTTTGTAGGAAACTCAATTGTATTTTTTGCAGCGCAGTGCAACCCTTGAAAGGTATTGTTTAGCGACAGAACATCATGTTAAATAATACAAATGGAGACCCAGACAGGGGCCTTTAAGATGGACGCAGAAATCATTTAGAAAGTCAGGAGATGGAGAATGAGTCTGTTTGGGGTGGGGGTTGGAGCCAGTGGAGACTCAAACAAAGAACTCCCACCCAGAAGACCAAGCTTTGGCTTTTTTGAGGGATTATTAATAATGCTGGGTCAGGTCATTTAAATTACTTCTTACATAAAACCGTGACTGGGGGGTTGGAGACAAGATCTTTTGCAGGAGGGGTTAAATTTAAAATAGCTGTGGATTTGGTGAGGGGCTCATGGAGAATGTCTTTGCAGAAGGCTCAGGATTTTGTGTAAAATGCCCAAACATTACAATACCTGAGTATGGGGGGTGTAGATTGCATAATACAAATGATCAAATAGTTGGTTTGTTTTGTCAAGCCAACCGTCTTTGAAAAGGGTTGGTTCTTATCAGACATGACGCTGGCATTGGCATTCAAACTTAGATGTTGCAGGTGACATGCCATTGCAACCCCAATGTGGTGTGTCTAAAACTTATGGTCATTTCAAGTGTTTCTGTGACATGACAGTGTCCACTCAATAAGTCACTTAACCTGGGACAAAGCTGTTTTCTTAACAAATTAATCAACAGTAGTGAAGTATTCATTGTACTATCACACAAACAACATTTTCACTGTAAAAACTAGGACTGTAGGTTTAGTTTGTTCAAATAAAAACAGACTTCAAAAACACTGACAAAACACCTGTGTTTGTTCTGCATACAGAAACAACAGCCATTGAAAAACTTTCAGAGAAAGACTTCAGGATTATGTTACAACTCCTGTGAGGACATTTGCTGATATCTATGAAACAGAATGAACATCATACTGATGCTTTTGTATGACAGAAAATGCAAACAAGATCATAAGCAATGTGATAACTGTCTTTTATAATGTCTTTTTTGCAAATTTTATGATGCTTGAAAGCAGTGTGAGGGGGTAGGTGTCAATCCAGGAGATACAAAACAACCCAGTTTTTAAGATTTCCACATTACATATAAAATATTAAATTGTACATTTAGCAACCAAAAATCAGTAGGATATTTTTCTGTCAGACAACTCAGATATGTAGAGGACAAGAGAAGAGAAGACTGCCTTGTGCAAAGAGGGTGCCAAAATTGACACCTAAGTTTCTGACAGGCGCTTAAATTATCTCTAATGGTGCATGCAAAGTGTGCACAGCTGTCAGAAAATGTATTGCATTGCTTCTGTGTGTAGCCAACAGCAGACTGACGATCCTTCTGGAGGACAAATGATGTGTTTACAATATTTGCACCTCATAAAAACTGGGTGATTTTTTTCTTCACGTATAAAGAGCATGCATTTATGTTACATTTTTAGCTTCATTTTCTCACAAAGATGACAGCCAATGCAAGGACACCAGGACTGAGGTTTACAAGGGTGGCAAGAGCTCTTTCTAGGGTAAAGCAGCATTTGTCGTGTGTTTGAGGAAAGAATCTACTAACCCACGTCTGTGACAGCAAGTTTATAAGCATCATCACAAACAGGACTGATCTATAAATGACAGCTGCCCAAGTCAAAAATGCCCACACAGAGTGGACATTCACCACAAGGCCTTTAAAAAAAGTAGTTCAGTGTTTTTGATGTGGGGTTGTTTGAGGTTCTTGACAATACTTATTGTGTTTGCAACAAGGAATCCTGCAAAATGGACACTAATGAAAGCTAACAACTGCTTTAATAAGGTTAGGGCTACCAAGAAGTTGAGCGTTGGCCCTCTCCATGGGAAATTTGAGTACAAAAAAACAAGATGAAACAGTCAACCAACACAACAGATTATTCACACTCTGCAGAAAGGAGTTTTCTTTTTCTAATGAAGCATACATTAGTCTAGGATTCTGCTGGCACTTGAGCTTTCCTGAGTCTCTTTCCTCATGCAAATGAAACATGATTAATACAGATCAAAAATGAATGATATTTAATCATGATAAATCAAAATGAATACACAGCAACCCTATGATTAATCTGATTACTTTTTTTTTATTGTTTGACAGCACTAGTTGGTTTATAACCTATTTGTACATTTTCAGTCAAAGAATAACTTGATTGAATAATGACTGATTCTTACAAGAAAAATGACGCTGTAGGAACATGAGGACTGGAGTTCACAGAGGGAGAAGATGACTCCACAGACCAAATGAGGAAAAACAGGAGCAGGAGAGTTACCTGGTGTTACAGGTGTGTAATCTGTGAGCTCACTCAATCAAGGCAACTACTGTGGTAACGCCTGGGACTCTATAACAACAGGACCTTTCTGATTTAGAGGACCCTAGCAGCTAGGCCTAGGTTTCTATAAGATCGACGGATTCATGGGTCTGAAAAACTGGACTCAGAACTGGAATTGATAAAACTCAAACAGCGGCTCACATATGACTGTAGTCTGCATCACTCACCATCCAGAGTTCGCTTTGTTCAATTTTTAAAGGTTTGTTAAAAAACAGACAAGTCAAAAGGAAGTGGATCTTCGAAGAACATTTACAGCTTTCATTATTTTCTTTAACTGCATAATGGAACAAACAACGCTCTATGTTGACCTTATCACAATACACTTTGTGAACTATTGAAGGGGAAGGGAACTGAAATATAAAAGGAACTCTCCAGCCATTAATGTGTCGACAGTGATGGTAATGTGTTTCTCGAAGGGCGTGTACACTGGTAACAACAGAGGCACTATTGACAAGCACCTCATACGACCCCACTCAAAAGGAACAAAAATATCCCTTTGAGACGCTAATTTTGGAAATATGATCACACTCGTCTGGATCAACAATTAGCAACAGCATGCGACAGATCATCTTCAAATTTGATAATTTCAGTCTTAGGGCCTCTGATAATGAAACCCATCAAGTCTTTTACATCAATAAATGTGTAATTGAATAACATAGTAAACATTGCAGAGAAAAATTTAGGAATTTTTTTTATCTCCAGACTTCAGTGATAAGTTATTTACAGCTTTGTACAGGCTTAACAAAGAGACCTACATATTTCTAACCAAAAATCAACACACAGACTGAAGTCACAGGCGCTCAAATGGGATTATATTTGTTTCCTGCCTTCACACCTTTGATGCTGAATAATCAAACCTGAGTGCAAATCAGATGAACCAAATTACCATTAAGTATCAAATGTCTTTTCAGGGGCTTCATTCATGTTGAGATGTTTGATCACATTCACATGATTTTGTTTCACCAACTACTTCAGAGGAGATTAATCCATATTCTGTTTTAGCCAATATGATGCTGTGTTTATTCTTCTTGTTAGACACAAGGATATGTGAGTAGTATAAAAAAGCATACCTCTAAAGCTGCACCTATCTCAAACATTATTTTTTAGTGTCTCCATTGGTTGATTGGTTGAGAAATATAATGAAACCAAAAGAGAAAATTAACCCTTTACAAGTGTAAGCTGGACAGGTGTGGTGAGCAAAAAGAGGCTGAACACAATCCACTATAAGTAACTCAAGCTATGAGCTTTAAGGCACTGTAATAAGAGGACCTAAACAAACAAACAAACAAACAAAACTTTAAATAGTCGCACACTTATACTAGCACCTCGTCAGGATTTAAGAAAGTAATGTTTTTTACCATACTAAAGACATACTATTTATTATTTTAGAATATTTGTAAAAAGTCTAATTAGCTTGACAACCAATACACTTAAAGAAAGAAGCACTCTAGATGTTCTTGATATTCTTTAGTCTGGTTACAGTGAATTTTGTTTTACTCCGAGCCTCCCCTTCACCTTTTATGACCTTTTATTATTTTGTGCAATTTTGCAGCTAAGGTTAGTTTATTGTTGGAGTGTGCTCTTTTTCTTGTGCACACTCTTGTTCTTTTTTTAGGTAGCATTAAAAACAAAGTCTGCTTGTGATTCATTAGCTTTCACAACAACTCCAAACATTGGCAAGAGCAACACCTTGCCTGGCGTGATTGTGATCATGGGAAAGGCAGTCTCCATCCTGGATAAACACTAATGAATTTGTCTGGAAGGTTCCTCATTGTTGATTCTTGAAAACTTCTCACAGTACTTTTAATGAATGTCTTTACTTTTATACCTGCATAAAAATGCAGGTAATCCTCTTTTACAAATCCAACTCCACTTTGTCTGATTGTAAACAAAGCAATGCACGAAAAGCAGATGTCTTGACCAGATGCTTTACATAAAATCTGACCTTGGAGCTATCTACAAGGACAGGCACCTTTTCACACCAATGGAAACCAGCACATCAACATTAACAGCAGCAACTACTCCATCATAAACAAACATCGACATGTGGAAGCTCTTACCCAGAAGGCCTCCCAGCAGGTAGGCTGAGTTGGACGGTTGTACCATACTCTTCGACTTATGTCCTTTGCTTGAATTACAGTGCAGTGTGTAAGAGGGCCAACCTCGCACTCACACAGTCCTATAACACTGTTGTCTGCAACTCTTCAGTGTGCGTGTTCAGCAGGGTGCACATGTGTTCATGAGTTGACTGTCTTCAGGTCTTCATTTCATTGCTGAGCATTTCTCAGACATGCCGGCAGATGGATTCTGTTTTCAAAGGCTCTCTGTTTGCTGTTGCTTCCTGCAGCAGACAGCCTGAAAATGAGAGACATCATAGAGTCAAAGGGACAGACATGAAATAAAAAAAAACTGAAACACAATGTAACATGCTAAGAGATAGTTGTCAACTCGTGAACAGATTAACCAACATCAAAGGAACTTAAGACAATAAAGTTCTTGGCTTTAAAGCTCCTGTGAGAACGTTTTCGCCTGTTTCAGTATTGCTGACCATTGTGGACAAAGCGGTACCGTTTGTGTCATAGTTAGCCGTAGCCACAAATAATGCTCAGAACAGCACCTAATGTCATCAACAGTACATATAGGGTCCTAGCCGTAGTACCAGTCATCAAACATCTTTTTAGCTTTGCCTGGTTTCTTTAAAAACACAAACTCCAAACACATATCACCACTCTCCTCCAGCAGCCGCTTGTTTGTGGGGGAGCCCTGACGAGTCGATCACCGAGTGCAGTAGAAAACTTATGATTATTTCCTCATGGAAATGCAATCAGACCGAGACGTTAAGGCAGAAAAACTACCCCGTCTGCAGTGTACATACAAGATACACAAGAACTCTGATTAGATACCCTTGAAGTAATAATAATCATTTTGCACTGCAGACGCAGTAGGTCTTCTGCCTTAGCGTCTCGGTCTGATTGCATTTCCATGAAGTTATAATCATAAATGTTCTTCCATGAGCTGCGAAACTCCGCTGCACTTAGTGATCGACTCATCAGGGCTACCCCAAACGAACAAGCGGCTGCTGGAGGAGAGTGGTTAAGTTGTGTTTATGTAAAAGATGTTTAATGGCTAGTGCTATAGCTGGGACCTTATATGTACTGTTGCTGAAGTTAGGTGCTGTTATGAGGATTATTTGTGGCTTTTTGGTTGAGGTTTGTGCGTGGAGACATAGACCACTGTGTTTTGTTATCATGCAGTCGTTACTAAAGTTGGTATAACTAGAGAAGCAAGCAGTCGACAACATTCGTCTCTTGGGGGGGTGTCTAACTCGATGTTATGGTGTGTTTGACCCTAACTTAATTATATGCTGAAATATCCCTTTAAGCCAAACATGTTTATATCTGTAAACTCTAGACTTGACAAAAGTTTAACTTAAAGAAAACCTTTGAATGCAAATTTGACAAATTCATTGGATATGTATAGTCTTATATTAGGAAGTGATGGTTAGAACACAATTCCCTACAGTCATCCCAAGCAGCAGAGATCCCCTTGGAGACCAAAAACAAAAAGCATTTAGAGGAGCCATTTAAAGCAAGTTTAAAGATTGACAGGTGAGTTAGTCATGAATTACTAATGGTCAACAAGCTTCACTATCTATTGAAAGAGTTATTAAAGGTGCAGCAGCCTAGTCAAACTTACATTTTAAGATCTGAAAAGGAGACCTGCACAGACGTGAAAGTATGGAGCTACTTTTTCCTGTCAATGGGGTAACCAATCCACTTTAAATATCTTTTCATCTGCACCAGTCAATTACCTTTGATTTATAAGGTGTCAAATCACAGCAGAAGTTCTTTAGTAAAACAGCTCTGGAGGGTATTTTATGTAATGTTTATTACAAACACCCGTTTAGCAACCACTTTACTGCAGCAGCAGTAAAGACAGGTAGAAATCTTGGCAGAAACAGACTCTTGGGTAAACATACATCTGTTGTCATGAGCAAAGTCAAAAAATGGGCTAAAAAGAAAGATGAAAAGGTAGAGACAAAAGCTCTTCCACTAAGACATTTCATTCATGTTGTTTCTTTGGTCGTGCATTTAATTTAGTACCACAGTTATTAATTAACTGCAGGCCTATCGTGTATCTTACCAATAGCAAGCTTCAGGAAGTCATAAACTCAAAGAGAAATCCAGCCTAGAGTATAAACTGATAAAGAGGATCAGTAATGCCAAAACAATTTTGTGTCAGTATCTAAAAATTTGGGTTGTCTGCATTAAAGGTGTTAATAGTTACACAATCAGGATTCCAGTTAAGATTTTTTGCAAATTGTGTGCTAATTTGTCGATTTTGGCTCACCATAGTGAAGCTGCAGTACCTTCCTGCTTGCTGCTGTTGCTGTGACGGAAATTAATGACACCACTGCACAGAGGGCAAGTCAAATATAATATGCACTTTGTATCAAATAAGTAGCTGTAGTAGGGAACAATGGCATCACAGCAGTATAGGACCAGTATAAACAGAGAAAGAACCCAAAGTCGAACACCTGAAAAGTGCACACATTTGATTCCCGAATCCAGACAAATGGTGAGAATTGCTTTACACTGTCAATATGGACTTAAAAATTGCTTTGAAATGAAAATAATGGGATTTTAAAAAATGATTAAAACATAATTTATCACAATTATCCACTGAAATTTGGTGATTCATTTTAAAATTATTGTGATAGGGCTTGTAAAAATACAGCTGTTCATAAGACAAAGCAGCCCAACTTCCAAAATGGACAAAATCATTAAATTCAACCAAGTGGTAAAGGCATTAATGAATGCATATGGTCCAAACAGAATGAAGTACTTTGAAATGACCTCAGATCGCATTAGTTTGATGTGTTTAATGCTGATTTGGGGGTTTTGTTCGACTCTTTGGGGCAAAACTAGTATAGTTGCATGCATGGCTTCAGACAGAGCTTTTATTGGTAGTTTGCTCTATGAACAGTAAAATGTGATCATTACAGCAGACTTCTGAAATTGATCCAATCAGATACAATAAGGAATGTCTGATTAATAAATTGCATCAAAGTCAATCAAATTATCCAATTCCTGGAAAATAAATATTTCACTCATAGGCTACTTTATGGTTGTTTTAAGAGGATCTGTCATGAGTAATTGATAAATGTGAGAGATGATTCGTACAAGGAACAAACAGTCAGCCTGATGAACATATAGTTTCTTCAGCATCTCAGAATTTTTACATATTACTACATAATTCAACCACGAAGGCTTAAATGGTCGAGTATGAACCGAATACAAAGAACATTTTTAAAAAAAAGATTATTTAAAGTTCAGCAACCAGCAGCTTGATTTAATTTAATCACAAATAAACAGATCCAATTCTAGAAATAAGGGACAGAGAAATGGACGCCAGTTTTGAATAACACCCCTTCTCGCTCAGACCTTTTCCATTGCGGTCATCGGAAATTAGATACTGTAAATACTTGGAGACAATTTCCTACTGGTAATGTTTCCTGACGCCTTCATTTTTATAACCATGATAAATTTTACTCCTAGATCTCGGCTTCTGTACGAAAGCCTTTCTCTGGCATACAGCGAGTATTCTCCTCATTACTGCCAACATGAGGTTTGCCTTATCATAAAAATGCCTTTTGAAACTGACAATACAATATATTTTTCAGATTTATCCTTTGAAAACGGGCATGCGGAAAGAATTATGCGCTTAAAGTATTTACCCTGTTGAGTTTGATATGTCAGACGATGTGCATAAAAAACACAAAAGAAACAATAAACTTCTTTGAAAGTCCAATTAATTGTCTATTATTTAACTTTAGTTGTAAATCAATTTTTAGTGGTGGAACTTTGGGAAAGATAAATGTTATGTATCTAAATTACAGTGGGTTTGAAGAGCACAACACTAACACTGTATTTTTTTAATTTTTTCATTCAAAGCACTATTGTATCTGTGAAACCATCTCAAAAATTAGCATTTTATCACTTTTAGTAAGATCTCTATTTAAAAAAATGACGAAACAGTGAAGTGTACTGTTGGCACTGTTTAACCAGAGAAAACTCTCATCATTTTATTTTGCCTTTATAGTAACCTAACTGTATTTTCTTTTCTTTTCTTTTCCTTTTTTTCAGAAAGAATTGCCTTGATGTTAATGTCAAAATGGTATCAACATCAAAAAGCCAGGCCAATGTAAACTATTTGAAATTACATTATGGGCTACGTGAGGGATGGGATGATAAATTATAATTCACAATTAATTGTCAGAAAAATCCTCCACGATAAATATTTGCCATCGTAAGGTAAATGCGATAAATGTTGATGACGTAGGCGTGAGCAACAGACTCACAGCCATTGCCCACGCAGAGCTGAATTACAAATGTGACGAAGACGTTTCTGAGCAGCTTGTTTCTGGTTTAGATGAGTGCAATCAGGTATTCCTGACATCAGACAGTGGATCTGCTGCAGTTCACTACATTTTTCAGTAAATGCTGAAAGTGTCTTCACAGTTCAGAAATGTGTGGTGTCATTAGTTTTCTCCATAACCTAGCACTTAAACTTGTGGTTAAGTATCTTATTTGACTACTACAACTGGTGTTCTCAAGACAGAGCGAGTCAAAAATATAGATTATAATTATATTTTTTATCAGGAACTTTATTGTTATCAACAGAATGGCAAAACTTATTGTGATAAATTTTTTAGCCCATATCGCCCATCCCTAGGCTATATTGATGTCTATTTACAGATTCTGCTTTAACATGCAACTAGCCTTAGGTCTATGTGCGAGAAAACAGACTGTATGGGAAATGCAGCAGGCATAATTTAATTTGACACATTAAGGAAGGCAGAGCAGACATGTCTAAATACAGTCATCCAGGTTGTCAGTTGTAGAAACCTTAATAATCTGACAAATTTTGGTAATTGCAAAGCTCTCTGGGAAATAAGCAGCCACAAAGATAACGGATAACAGGTCTTGATCTTTAATGCTTATAAATGCCTCCCCCCATGCTCCTTTATGTCTCTCTCAGGGTGTCCTCCAGGGGTCTTGTTTGGGTCCCCTCTTATACACTGTTAACATGCTCCCCTAGGGGCAAATCCAACAAAGGTATGATATAGAGTTTGACTGCTGCAAATGACACCTATAGCCTTACAGCCTAGCACCACTAAGTCTGTCTGATGACAAAAACTGAAAGGGACATTCTGGCATAAATTCCTGACGAGTCGATCACCAAGTACAGCAGAAAATTTATGATCATTACTTCATGGAAATGCAATCAGACCGAGACACTAAGGCAGAAGAACAACAGTGTCTGCAGTGCAAAATGATTATTATTCAGTGATCGACTTGTCAGGGCACCCCCACAAACAAGCGGCTGCTGGAGGAGAGTGGGTGAGTTATGTTTGGTCTCTTAGCTAAAGAAATCAGGCAAAGCTAAAAAGATGTTTGGTGGCTACTATTATGGCTGGGACCCTATATGTACTGTTGATGGGTGCTGTTCTGAGCATTATTTGTGGCTATAGGGTGGCGTTTTGGTTGAGGTTTGCACGTGGAGACAAAGACAGCTGTGTATTGCTATCATGCGGTCGTTACTAAAGTTGGTATAACTAGAGAAGCAAGCAGTAAGCAATATTTATCTCTTGAGGGGGTGACTAACTCGGTGTTACAGTGTGTTTGACCATAACCTAATTATACGCCAGAATATCCCTTTAATGTCGGAAAATCATTGTCGTTATCCCCCGTCCCAAGTTCTAACTGAATCAATGACTTGTCAAGCCTGTCTGCCCACTCACATTCACTAAGAGGCCCTTAACCCTAGAATCATATGCACTCCTGTTTACATCAGCTCCTCTTTTCTACTGTCAACATAGAAAGTATCATACATGCATTTATTTATTCCAAACCTGACCGCTCTTATTCACTTTACACTGGTATCAGCGAATGTGACATCCAAAGACTGCAAATAATTCCCAAGTTGCAGTCTCCCAACAACAGTAGCAACCATAAAACACCAGCCCTTGCTCCTCTGAACTGGCCACCTGTGAGTTCAAGAATTCATATTAAGATTTTACAGATTTTTTAAAGCCTTGACCAAACTGCGGCTTGTATTTGTGAGTTGCCAACTCCTGAGCCTGACCACTGCCTGAAGTCCTCTTGTAGGGTTCCTTAATCTGGACTGGTCCCAAAGCTGACCAAGATCTACAGTCTGTACTCCTTGCCTGAGGAGATCTAAAAGACAAACTCAGTGTCCTCTTTTGACTTTCTTTTAAAAGCTCACCTCTGTTGTGTAGTTCATTTTCTTAAAAGTTGGTATTGCTGTCTTTCTTTTTTCACTTTGGATTATTACCTCCGCCAAGGAGGTTATGTTTTCGGTAGCGTTGGTTTGTTTGTTTGTCTGTTAGCAACTTTACGGAGAAAGTAACAGACGGATTGACCTGAAATTTTCACCAGAGGTGCATCTCAGCCCCAGGAGGATCCCATTACATATTGGTGGTGATTCTGACAAAATTCTTGATACTGTGATCCAGAACACACAAAAATAAGGGTGTCGTTGGAATTTTCAATGCTGAAAGATAACCAATGGGCGGCACAGTGGTATAGATAGGTGGCACAGTGGTGTAGTGGTTAGCACTGTCACCTCACAACCAGAATGTCCTGGGTTTGAATCCCGGTCAGGGCATTTCTTGTTTAAGGGGGGACATGAGCTGCTAGGCGGAGGTCTGTGCTCTTCGAGTGCTTTTCTAGTTGGAGTATGGGATCTTTCTTATTTGTGATATGTTGTAAATTTTTATTGTTGTCTTCTGATTGTTATTGACCCTCTTTGTATTTTATTTCCATCACTGTTACCTACCTTGTGTTGACTGTTGTTTGATTTCATAGTTCTTTTGCTGTTAAGTGCTTTTCATAGTGACAGGTGCTCCCACAGAAATAAATACAGTAAAGAGTGCAGAGTTAGCCTCTGTTGGTCATGCTTGCTTTCTATGGCATTTTTAAAAAATGCTTGTTTTCACTTCATTTCATCAGGGACCATAGATTTCTTCACTGCTGTCATTGTGGAAGCAGCAGCTCAAACCACAGATTATGCACCAGTCTGCTATGTGGTTAGATTACAGTCTGTATGGGTCTGTTTGCCTTTTGATAAATTTCTTCCTCAAAGCGTCTACCGTAATAAACTGAAGGATGTGTTTGTATCCTATGGACACAAAGCTTTGCTTATGCACTACAAGTCAAGCAACAACACAGTATGTCATTTTCTTGAAAAGCACCCTTATTAATTATTGTGAAACACTCACCACTTTGTCCAATTTGGGTTCAAATGTTTTAATTGGAGTGCATCCAAAGATTTGACTTTCATCAAATATTTGTTTGTTTGTTTACATTTATATGAGCAGTGATTTAAAAGTGTGTAGTTGCTTACAGAATAGACAACATCTGAGGTAAATGACAGAGAAAAAAAATGATTCAATTTGTCATCCTGCTCCAAATATTGGCTATTGGACTCTGTTGTTCCTGCATGTGCTTATAATCGTAGAGTCCAAAGTCTTTCGTAATAGAAAATTACACAGAGCTGACTCCCTTTATGACTCTTTTCCTCTCATACTGTGTTAAAACTACAGTCTAAAGAGGGGTTCAAAAGCACAATAAACTGCAAGAGATGGCACCTGTTTAACTTTTTTTTCAGTTAGTCATGCTGGCAACAACTACACTACAACACTGCAGTACAAATGACATGAGATAATACTTGGTATTATCTCATGTAAATTGAATGGTAAATCAACTGTCCCGTCAACATCAGGTCAACAATACTTGTCAGGTGATGTGGACAGGAAATTTCTTTCCTTACTTTTTTAATGAGCAGTAAACTGGTTGAACTTCAACTTCACAGTTTATTGAATAGACACCAGTCTCTTGTCTGTAGGTGGTTGGCGACACAAGAGATCACCCACGGCAAAATAGAAGATATTCACAGGAAAAGGAGAATATTTGGGGTCACTGTTGCATCAGAACTGAAAGTTTCTGTGATGATGTTAACCAACACACATGCAGTCATTAAATCCACTGTTGCGAAGCTCAAAAGACTCAAAAAGTGAAGCCAATGAGGACTAACTGGACTATTTTGAGGACTGCTGTAATTCAGTACATTTACACACATAGCTCAGTCGAGCTACAGTTAGAGCTCAATTTGGCAATTTAACTGGACTTCATCCAACAGGACTCTCACAGCACTTTATCTTTTTACTATACACAACGAGAGCTTCGTCTTTTTTGACATCTTTGCGTCCTCTGTCAAGATTTGGTTTACTACCTGGCTTCCTAGAAACCCATTTACACCTCTCACCTCTCTTGTGTGAACACTGGAGCATGTGCAAAACGCTTAGGTGGGTCTCAGTCCGACATGACAGAGAAAATTGAGCCCCACCCGCATTATTTAGGTATGCTAGTCCGAATATGAGTTGTTCAATTCAAAGATCAATTTCAGTCAGACTGACATGTTTATGTGTATTTTCAAAATCCAGCTTCAGCTAGACTATTGTCAGTTTTGGCACCCCCTGTGAAAAAAGTGTTTATCGGTTGTGACTTTTTACTGACTTTTGACAAAAAAAAATCATCCTGCTAACCTTTGGCAGTTGAATGTATCTATTGTGCATATGTATGTGCCAGATGTAAAACCAGAGCTACCTTTCCAGCTGCACAGTCAACACCTGCCCCCTTGCTTTTCTTTAAGAATATAGAAAACATCAATCTCTGGTTGATGGTCTGGTTTACTTTTGGGTGTTATGAAAAGGCTAAGTCTGTTCCATAAATGTCAAAAACTCATAAGAGCTTTAACTGCAGTTCTTGTAAGGGCTGCTTTGTACCGCCATGTGAGGTTATAATGAATAAATTCTCCTATGCAGCCAAACTCAGATGGTTAAAGTTGCCAAGGGGAAGGTTTTTGGAAAGGTTACAGAAAGAGGTTTAGAAAGCAACTCAAACAAAATGATGAAAAAAGCTTCATCAACCGCTCTGAGAAACATCCACAGGTTTGTAAAATAACTTCTGAAAAGGTAACGGGCAGGTTATAAAAACAAAACCACTATTTCTTCTTTTAAAAACACCTAGACTTTGACAAAGTCCTGACCGGGTCGATGTCCAGTCAAACAGGCTCAGTTACAGTATAAGCTCTGTTGCAGGACGAGTTTGTCTGCTACTACTTGTAGGTGGATATCACTTTTTTTGGTTCTCTGTGCCTTTCCTGCATTTGACCACTTTGCAGATGATACCCCCCCAGGATAAACCCCCCCTACAGTAGGCCCATTTCTAATGCAGGTAAGTCTGCCTTTGGGTGGAAAACGAAACATCAGATGATCTGTTCAGAACAAACTCAAAGTTCATATGTTTTTTGAAGAGGACAGTAGAGAACCCCATGAGAGTCCTCATTCCACACTGTACAGCCCAAAACCTTCATTGGTACCGGCATCACCAGAACCTCAAGTGGATGCTGAACACCGGCTCATCAATGAATAGAGCAAAGCAGAGGATGGACTTCCTGCTGCAGCTCAAGTTAAACCTCAGTGACGGTTTGCTCCAATGCTTGACACGACCTTTACCTCCTCTATCAACATTGCAGCCACTCTTACGAACAAGGGTAAAGAGCAGTGAGTAATTCATGGAGGACCCCAGATGCCACAGATTAATTTCTGCTTGATAAAATAGGATAATAAAGACATGATTTATGGCAAGTTAGTTACTTTACATATGGTACTAAAAGTCTAAACAGGAAGTAAAGTATATCATATAAACTCAAAAGTTTAAAATCAGGGACCGATTATTCATCTGAACAGCTGATCAGTACATTGCCAGTAGATGAAAATACTTCATAATCAAGGTGGCTGAAACATTTTCTTAAGAATGAAAGTGTTTTCAACTACACTGACATTAAAGTTTGATTCCCTAAATTTCGTTAAATTATGTGGTAAGATCGACACTGTCTGCAGCAGTTCACAGCTTCCATGCAGACTCTCCACCCATTTTCTCAACAAAGGGGTGGAGCTTGCTGGCATCTCTTATTGGTATGCAGTTATGATTGACAAGTACCTTATACAACCTCGCTTCAAATGAAAAAGATGCAGGGAACTAGGACTTTCCAGAAGTCCCAATGGAGATGAAATATATCAGAAGAAGAGGGAAAATTGGATTCTTGAAAATGTTTGCCTCAATATAGACTAACTTTGAATAGAACTGACTGATTTGAGGTTGATATAGGAATTTTATTACGTACACACAATACTTTTCAGCTACATCCAATAAAGGATTCTAGCAGAGCCAGGGCTGACTGATGACTTCTCACTGTACGTGTGGGACCACTGTGTCTAAGTGTGTATTTGCATTCCGGTAGCGCACTGTTATAGCAGCCTGTCTCATCCTCGTAGATCATCTCAGGTTTGTACACGTAACAGAGCAGAAAGAATTCAGTCAATCTGCTGACCAGCTCTACAAAACTGTCATAATAGGCCCCGTTATGCATGCATGACCAGACACAAAACCAAACATTTACAACATGTTTGCTCTTGACCAAACATTTTGCACCCACACAAAAAATGATGCGTACAGAAACTGCTCACTGAGGAAATTACAGGGTCTGTGATTTCTCCACAGCTCAGTGGCACATTGTATGGACATATAGGCCAACAGAACGTGTGTATTCCTAAAAATAGGGGTGTTTACATGAAAGCCTAAGTGTTGGCTAGTTTTGTTGATTTAAAAAAAAAAACATCTTACTCCTTCCCTCTATGTACTCACGCTGACCTTGATCTTATCCACCAGCAAAACATGCAAAACTTCCTCCTGATACCATAACCAAATCCTCAAACCAAGCAGCCTGCAAACAGATGCTGTGAGACAAGGTTAAAATGTCCCTCAGAAGTCATCGCTGGGGGTTTCAACCTCAGACTGGAGCTCACAAGGATAGAAATAACTTAGAATGAGAGTGTAAACACCAGAAACACTGGCACAAACTCTCCACACTGATAAACAGCAGCTCTGCTTTCTTCTCCAGCCCTCCTCTGATCCATTTCAGCTCAGTCTTTGGATTTCCCCTCTAACTCATCAGCCACTACACACATGTTTAGAAAATTTTGAAAAAACATGTGAACATTTTGCTCTCAATGACCCGAGGCCGCTATATCTTCATTAAGTGAAGCTGCTGGAAGGCTGAGACTAAGTGGATTTGTTCGATTTCACAGTAACCTACCCTGCCGAATCCACAAAGAACGTATACTGAAGGGATGATAGTCACAGTCCTCTTTTTTCTGTGCCAAACTCAAATAACAAATGAATATCTATTGCATTAGTGAACTCTCCGTGTCACCAAATTCTCATTCAACTGCACCAAAGAAAGGAAATTGAGGTCAAAGGTGCTTCATGGATCACGACTTCTTCTCACCATCCTGTCCTGATATTGATGCTGCCTCTTTCATGACGAGAGGTTTGAATAAACCTCACTCACACGTGCATGTAACCAAGGGTGGAAAGAGTATTCAGTGATTTTACTAGAGATGGAGTAAAGTTACTGAAATGACATTTTACTTCAGTGGAAGTTAAACTACTCGCTTGTTTATCTGCTCAAATAACGGTAAACAGTCCTTCATTTGGATTGTGCTGAGAATCCTGGGTATGTTGTTTCAAAACATGGCAGTGGGGATAGGGGAGAAAGATGTCCCCCTAAAATCACGTAGAAGCATATTTTCCCAAACTACACTTTGTAATATAGCCATTAGTGTTACCATGTGAAGAGATTTTGACTCTGAACTTATACAGGGTGAAGTTATTGAAAACATTTGCAGCATCTTTTATCTCAAGTCTTGGCTGGCTGTGCAGAGAGGATTGCCATGACATGCCAAAAATAAGGACTTGATGGTTTTGATGAGCAAAAGTGGCTTCAAATGCTGCAAGAGGTTTCTTGATAAGCCTGAAAAGAGATTAGATGCCTAATTAGTAAAGGAACTTGACTGTTCTGGCTTGAAGCACTTGTCACGTTATGTCCAAATTAAGTGTAAGTGAAAATTAGACAAATTGTTTTAGTATTAAGTTCAGGTTACAAAAACTGCACCAGAGAAGTCATCTGTATCTCTTTTTTTTTCTTTGTTATTCTGCACCCCACAGTCTTTTTTTTTTTTTTACCGGGGGTTCGAGCAGCCTGACCATGTTTCACAAACCCTTCACGCATGTCTTTCTCCTGCGCTCACTGAGGTGTTGAAATAACCTGTTGGGGGTCTTTAAATTGTAAAGTTGTGACTCCGGGTTCACCCTCTGGGCTCGAAAGGGTCTCACCTCGCTGATTAGAACAATTAAAGCAGCCGGCTGCATAACTCCACAAAGGTTCTGCTGGAAAGATAATTTGCCACGAAAACCTGATCTGTGGGCGAAGGATATCACTGTTTTCTGTCCTCACTGGGACAGTAAATACACTCACCTGACGAAAGTGAAAGTATTACCGGACATCTAAAGGCCATTAAGTTCTCACACAGGTACAAGTTTGCACTGTAAAACCCACAGCAGCAGATTACCTGCCGTGTTTCCCCAAAAAACTATTTGAAAAGTAGAAATCAGGAGGAAATCAGTAAAGACACATGGATATAGACACGCACCTTGTTAGTCCGCTTTTGGTCGGCTCCAGAATGCGCTAAGGTTGTATCCGCTTAGGGTGACAGATTGAAATGTGTCCTCGTTAAATTTGAAGAGTGGTCCGCTTGATATGAGTCCAATTATAAAAGTAAGAGAGAAAAGTCCACAATTGGCTCTGACCATACAAGCAGTTCTGGTGTTCTCTATCCGCTGTGCGTGCCCCCGAGTGCGCAACTGGCTGACCTGCAGCTCCCACACTCCACTCTACTTCACTCCACACCGCAGACACGCCGCAAACACAGTCTGCTTTCAAAATAAAAGTGCGCGTAACACGGACACCACGTAATCTATGCCTATCAGACAGTCTGCTCTCTCTCTCTCTCTCTCTCTCTCTCTCTCTCTCTCTCTCTCTCTCTCTCGCTTTTTTTTTTTCTGCTTCCTCACTTAATTTGACTATCAGATACATCAAAGATTAAAAAGGTTGTACGCTTGTGATAGATTTGTATAAATTGCCGATTTGTCCTATATAACCAACAATAACAATATAAAGGAAAAGTACAAAATCCGTTTGCACTTTATGTAGACCACCTACAAAGAAAGTGACACCTGCAATGAGGACCCCCTCCCCCTTTTTTAATAACTCAGCTCTTTAATGGGTTACTGCTAAGGTAGTTGTTAACAATCCCCGTAAACCAGCAGACAGTGTATCCTAGACCATAAACTTCTGACCCTCACAATCCTGTTTCTACATTAGAAGACAGGAGCATCATCGGGTGTCACACAGAGACCACGCGTGCTTTGACAGGCTCCTCTCTCCATCTATCCTTCTATGTTCTCCGTGAATAACGCAGGCAACAGATAAAGTTTTACTTTGAAAGTCGTGTTTCAACCGGAACTAAGAGTGATCTATTTCGCCCAGTTGGAGAATGAAACCATGTTAACAGAGACCAGATGAAATATAGACCCCTGCTGATCGTCCGCCGCGCCTCTTACGGTGCGCAGGTTTCTTATTTTCCTTCATTCACTCGCTCTAGCTTGTCGCGTTGCGTCCGTGCGCATGTTTCAAATCCATTATTACGCATCATTTCAGACGAGAGCCAGATGATCACACACCAAATCACTCAGAGCCAAACATTCACCACAACCGCATGTGTCGCTCCAGACTGACTGCTGAGCTCAGAGGGGGAAAGCCCGCAGGAGAGCGGCGGTATGGACACACGCTGAGCTCGGCGGGGTTTTTCACGACTGTTTCCATTTAGTCATGATGTCCCCTTGGAAGGCTGGAAGAGTTTCGTGTCAGATTTTTATCGGTTTTATCTATTTTGAAGATAGGGACGCTTCAAATAGTCATCCTTCAATTATCACTTAGTTCACGAAAAGTTTAAGATATGTCACTTCCAGGGGTTAATTTATAGTTGTATTGAAAGGCGCCATCCGGATGGTAGGAAAGGTTGCTCCAAATCCTTTAAACAGCATGTTCGTCAGCAATCCAAGGGCCTCCCAGTGATGCGAGCTATATTCATGCCATGAACACATCTGTGCCCATTATGAATGCCAGAACCGGCCCAAGCCTCAATGGGGCCCTAAGCAAAATTTGATTTTGGGGCCCTCTATTTCTGCCAAAAATATTGACTGTTGATCATTTACACACCTTCACAAATCTCTTTGATTAACATTCCATAACATGCAAACATACCTTTATCTTGGCGTTTTTCCCTTTCTTCCGCTTTCTTTTCTCTGCTTCTGAAGGATATGTCCTTTTTTGCGGCATTGTTTTGCCAAACAACTACCTGCGCTTTGGATGCTCAGTGCACATTGCACAGCAGGAGGCACATAACGTAGCAGAGCTTTGACATATCAGCAGTAAGAATCAAATGTCTACATCAGCAGCAGCACTAAAATGTTTTTACTTTATTTTATTTTTACAATAATATATACTTGATCATACAGAAAGCATGACTCATACATGCGAAAAATAAAAAAAATGTTAAATTTTTTTTATTTTTTTTTATTGCACTTTGGGGCCCCCTATTGGCCGCGGGGCCCTAAGCAGGCGCTTAGTTCGCTTATGCCTTGGGCCGGCTCTGATGGATGCTGTCTTTTGAACTATGTGCTGATAACAAGCTAGGTGGTCCCTCTCTTCCCTAAAATGGAGGATGTGGCATTCATGATTTCCAGAAAAAAAATGTCAAATATTGATCTGTCAGACCCTGGGACAGTGATCCACAGTTATATTTCTGGATCATGTTTATAGAGTGTCTTTGCACAGTATAGTTTTTTTCCTGGACCTGATGCTGTGACAGCTTGTGTTTACAGACAATGTTTTTTTTAAGTGATTTTGAGTCCATGTGGTGATTTGCACTTCAGAGTCTTGTCTGTTTTTAATGCTGCATTTCCCAAAGGTGCAAAAACGTAGCCATCCAGTATCAGTAACATGTTTTTCTCCAGATTGAATATATTCACAGAATCAACATTCATTTGGTTAAAAACTTAACATTGCTATCAAAGACAAGTCCTCTTTTTAACCATAGTAAGGTCGAAAACAGGCTGTAACCTGATTTTCATCAGCAGTGCACTGAGCTGAGGAGTGTATAGCAACCACTCAGTACAGACAGCCACAAGTGGAGTTAGCCGGGACCATCTGGTTCCCTCATGCATGACAGAAGTCTTCAAAGCTTTCAGTACCTGTGCTCTAACATACCTAATTGAAAAACAAGATTTTTAAAAACAATTTTGTCTGATTTTTGGTAACAAACATTCTCTACCTGTCTAGATTTTAATTTTGCACAATTATGCATTCAACATTTACCGATTGATCAGATACTTTGTTCTTTGTTTGTTCTCAATTTGTTATGTCTTAATTTGGAATAGTTCTATTTTTTGTTCTTTTAACTTTTTTTCAATTCATCATCATTTAATATACCCTTTTGTGAATGTTTAATGTTAAAATGTAAGATCTGAGCTTTTCTTCAGCAGCTGAACTGACACCTACCCTTTGCACCAGTTACAGGTGTTTTGTGAGTGATAGTCTTTTTTATTTTTTTCGATCATAAAAAAGTATCAATATGATTTTCAGGCTATTTTGTAAATGTCAAAATACTCCCGTTGGTTCTTTAAGTACTGCTCACTTAGGATTCCTTACTCCAATGGATGCTAACTAACGCTAGTGTACGCCCACAACTATTACATTTTGTCAAATTCATCATTATATAACAATTGTACGGTGAGTTATTTTTTTTTTTCAAACTGTACAGTGTACCTTGTCTCTTTGACGTCAACAAGCAACTGTTAAAATGCTTATTTAGTCAGAGTCTAAGTATTACACCAAATCATTTGCAGTGAAACTTTTTTAATATGTTACGTCAAGGGAAAATGTTTATCCCCTCAAGTTTATAATTTCCCTTTTTTTAAGTTTCCCTTTTATCATATGAAACTCCCAAATTCCTGATATGACCTCAACCTGAAGAGTTACAAGATATTACTCACTGTGGGATTTTTCCTCCCCCAAAGTGGTTGGTGTTTACACCCAACCTCAGGCCATGAACAAACCTCAGTCACGATGAACCAAAGTACATGCTGAGCATTTAAATCCCCAGCAGGAATAATGAACACGCCAAACTGATTTACACCACATAAAAAGATGTCCATCAAGCTGCCTCCAGTACAGCTTTTGCACTCACTGTCCTGTGAATATCATTTCCACTGAGCTGCAGAATGCTAAGCAAGTGGTCAAAACTGGGAGGAGATGGTTCAATTTTAAAAAGCTGGAATTAGAAATCCTCTTCCTCTGCGCCTTAAGGAGGGATTTTGGGGAAGCTGCAGCACCAAACCAACACAAACATGAACCCAGAGACACTCTGACTTCAATCTCAGCTTTGGTGGAGGCATGTGGGCTAAACAAATTTGAAGGCTTAGGAAGAGGATGCCTGGGAATAGAACCCTTTACAGACTAAAAAACTCCAATAAAGAATATATACCCTGAAAAGCTGAAATGGATTTGATAAACCAATGCAGAACCAGAAATAACCAAACAGCTGTACCCTTTTTACTGAACTACTGTAGCAGAAGCTCTGTATGTCCCCTCCAGCACCAAACATTTTCTTTAATAAACATCATTTGTAGACGTTACTTATATTTCCATCATTTTCTTATCGGTGAGACTGACTGGCACCACCAAAGCATCCATGAAGAAAGCCTATCAAGACATAGACCCAAAATAAATGACCAGTAACTTCATGTCCTTTTACTTGATCAAATCTGAAGTAATTGTATTTGATATTAACACCTAGGTATTGAGAAAATAGCTGTAGCAACAAATGGCATCATTTTGTCATCCTGGGGGTCATCTTTGATCAAGATATGTCCTTAAACTTTGATGACAGGCACAAAACACCCTTTTTTATCCAGAGAAAAATCCTGTCTCACATAAATAAAGAGACTCGTTCATGTATTTGTGGCTTCCAGGCTTGATTTCATCAGTCATGCTGCCCAGAAATGTGTTTTGTATCTTCAGCTGGGATGAAATGCTGCATTATGTGTTTTGAAAAACTTACAAAATTACTTTCTTTAAAGTGTCTCCACACTGCTACACTACAGATTTGATGGTAACACCATTTCCCTCACCCCAAAAAATACCACTAATGGTCAACCACCATCATATCTTTAAAACTTCCTCATGCCCAATACTCTTCAGATACATGTCTTCCCCCATCCATCTATTAATCATCTTCACCACTTATCCTTTCTAATACCATCCGAAATAAACAAAGAGAAGACTAGTACAACTAAATCCATCCAAGATAGACGAAGAGAAAACTAATTACCATCTGAGGAACCCCGGGTCTGAAAGCCTGGGACTTATTTTGTTTTTCTAGGGAAATAATGGTTTTCATGGTGTTCAGGGAAAACATGGAACAGATGAAAACATTCATCTGTTTGTCTTATTGATTTTAAATCAATATATGTCTTTTTGATTTTAAATTGTTTTAATTTCTCCTTTTTAATATATTTTTTATGTATTTCCTTGCATCTGTAAAGCACTTTGAATTGCCTTGTGTATGAATGCTGCTATACAAATAAACTCGCCTTGCCTTTCTGGGGTTGCAGGGAGGCTGGAACTTCTCTTGGGAAAGAGGCCGGCAAGGTCACCAGGTTATCACAGGGCTGATATATAGAGACAGATAATCAATCATGTTCACACTCACACTTATGGGTGATTAAGAGTGACCAGTTAACCTGACAAGCATTTTTTTTGGACTGTTGGAGGAAACCAGAGGACATGGAGA